TTTGGTTAAAATGTTTCCTTCTGTAAATAATAATGTAATGTGAGTACATCCGAGAGGTGAAATAATTATTAGCTCAAATAATGAAAAAATTGGGTTGGCTGCTCTGTCATTGTATAGTGCTGAAACATTTTATTTTCTTAGATTATATCTATAAATCAAATCTAAATTTAATCCATCATTGCATTTGCTAAATAGGTACTGTATGCTAAAGTTCATATTTGCTGTCATCAACATATAATTTCCTTATATTACAAATGAAACTAGGTTACCTTCCTATATGTAAGTTAACACTTAACAATTTTGTTTTCAATTCAACACTTTTCAAAGCACTGAGAATTAAGCACCAGATTTATTTATCACCTCAATGAGCCAGAGATGGACATTAATGGTATTGCTGAGAAAAATGTCAACCTTGGCAACACCGACTTCACAACTCCCAACTCAAAAATACTAATTTAACTGTAAACACTATAAATTTCAGAGGGCTGTTGTGTAGCTATTTCAGAAATGCCATTGTCAGACAGTTGTAAAGGACTAAAAGGGTGGGGATTGGTGGGAATATTTGACAAATACTTTCTATTATTCATTAACCTTTATAAGTTAACCTTCCACTTTTATGTGAACCACTTTCTAGTATTTTCCTGCCTAGTGAGAATAGAAAAAAACAAAAGAGTTTTATTCATTATCTATTTGAGTTTGTATTTCCAGAAACCATTTTCTGTTGCATTTCATTCTTTTTAAAACCCCTTTCAGCTCTTATTTTCTCTACATTAATTCATTCAATCTATTCTTGCAACATGTGGTTTTTGAAAATCACATGGTAAAAGGCTTTGTGGAATTATCAACACTAAATTAACCCTTGTTTTATACATTAAAAAGTATTCTGATAAAGTGTGGAACTTTGAACATATTTTATAGGATCTGTTCTTTGTGTCTTAGTATGTTATTAAAATCAAATAAGACCTTAAGTCAACTATTCACATGAAGGCTTCCATTATTTATGTACATCTCCTAAAACCCTAATTAATAACTTATCATAAACATGTTCTCTCTTTAGATTTTTGTTCTGTTTTCTTCTGATTAAAATATATAGTTGAAGAATAAAATTTTATTTAATGTCTTTAGATGTTCAAGTCTGATTAAAGATGCCTGCTTTCTACAAGCAATTGTGACCTCTTTTTCTTGACTACCTGCTCTTGTAGAATCCCCTAAACCTCTCCATCCCTCACCCCCATTCAGTTTGCCCCTTTTTCACTGCCTTTAAAATGTGTTTTTTTTTTTTTTTCCTTTTCTGGCCGTTTTCAACTCTGTCTAAAGCCCAACTGAGTCTCCAGAACAGCGAGGTTGTGTTTAATCCAAAAGGGGTGATCCACCTTGAGAGAATAATATTCTTCCCCTTTTGGATTTTTTAACAGACTTATCATAATAGGATTATTTCCTCCCCATTGCTGACCCTCCTTCTAAATCTTGTTAGAAAGCTACCTGGAAAGTTCTCATTCTGGTTCACTTGATGTGGAGGATAAACTCAAGCACAGAAGCATGGTTTAAAATTTAATCTTCCAGAAACTGCAAGGCTTAATTTAAGGAATACATTAGGATGTAATTTTTATGAAATTAGATTTTTAGTGTCCCTCTATTGTCTCGGTGCAAAGTTCCTGCTACTCGGGTTTATTTTTAAATGATTCAGTGAGAGAAAAATGTTTTCTCTGCCTATTCAGTGCTGCTGACAGGAGAGGAAGATAACTTTATGGAAGAAGGGGCAAAGAGAGTAAACTATTTTTACTTTCTGAGAGGAATGTATCAACAAAGAAAGACTGGAGGGGTTATTTCCTAACATAAAGAAACTGTGAGGAACATGGGGGGATATTAGCCTTTGAGATTTGTTGCCGGAGTAGCCAGAACAATATTCCCTCCTCACAGGGTTGGGGGGTGAAATCAAACCAGTTCCCTACAACTCTACAGGAGGTCACAGGATAAGAGCTTGGGGGGCATGGTTGATGGTTGCAAAGGGTTGTTAATTCTATTATCCTTGGGCGAGAGGTCCTTGTCAGGGCTGGAGGAGGAGGAAGGGGAGGAGGCTGCATAAAAGGTAAGGGGAGGTTGTGAGCCCAGGCTATTTTGGCATTGGAAGTGATCACATACCACACATATCTTTATCCTCTTGACTCATGTGGACTCACAGAATCAGTCCCCTCCTTTTTCCTCCCCCACTCTGCGCATTGGAAGACAACTCTTCAGAAATGATCCCATATTGAGTAGAATGGTAACAGATTACTACACCCCCCAGTATTTTTCTTTCATAGACCTGTGGGCGTGTTAGGACAACAGAAAGTTGCAGGTAGCTTAGTTTAGCATTACTGAATCATTACTCAGCATCAGTGTTTGAGTGATGCCACAGACTTATCAGTTTTAGCTGTTGGCTCAAGGCACTAACTTGGCAAAGTATGAAACCAGTGCTGCTGAGGCGTTGGAGGTCAAGATTAATCCTCTTTCTGTTACACCACTTTACTCATTCCAGCTTAAAAGAAAGGGACTTTATTGTGTAACTTTACATTAGAGACCACAACAACTGCCCAATCTAACCCAGATTATGATAAACAACAACATAAGTAGCAACTACTATGTAGATGATGCACAGCTATACATAATGATTTTACTAGCTAACTATGAACCCATTCAAGCACTGGGTAAATGCATAGAAGAAATTAATTCATGGATGTGGAACATTTTCTTCAGCCGAAACAAAACTAAAATAATTATTTATGGACCAACAGAATATTTCAAACTTAGCGTGCTGATAATTATTTTCCAAATGATAAAATATCTCTCCATGTTTATTTTAGTGAACCTTCACCAGTAGGAGCTATCATTGGTCCCCCATGTTTTTTCCACATGCAAATTTTACCAGACGCACAGGGCAGAAAATAAGGTCTTAAATGCTGTACGGAGGGGTGTGGGTGCTGAAATTACATAAGGTTCACAGACTGTCAAGTATTAACTAGTGTTGCGCCGACGCCATTTTTTGGCCCCGATACCTGATACCTGGCTGTGCAGTATCGGCCGATACCGATACCATAATAATGTAAAACAATTGCCATCATGGCTTTGTCAAGCTGCTGCCTACCTTTGTGAAGCAGGAAAAAAAATCTAACACAAAGTGAATCCAGTAGAACTTTTTATTGCCTCCCAGGAGTGGGTGACAATAGTTGAATAAACTTATGGCTCTCAAAATGGTATCGGTGCCCTATTTGTTGGTACTCGCCGATACCGATACCGATACCACCATTTTAGGGCAGTATCGGGACCCCGTACGATAATGGTATCTGTATCGGTGCAACACTAGTATTAACACTGAATTTGCTAGCACAACATACATTACAGATTTGTTATCAGTGTATCAAACATCCAGACCTCTCGGGTCTTCTGTCTTAAGTCTATTCTGCAAACCAACAACCAAGCATGGATTAACAGTACCAGCTCTGATGCTCCTCTAATCTGGAAAAAAATCCCTGAAAACTGTAAAAGGGCTAAAACCCTATGATGTTTTAAATCAACAATAAAACTAGAGTAGCATGCAGCTGGGCTATCTAAACATTGTTAGTGAAATTTGCAGTCCAGCTTTCTTCATTTTATAATTTTATCATACATTTTTAAAAATTATGTTAACATTCAAAATTTAGGATAATTCAAAATTCATTTTCCTTCTCTTTAATTATTCATGTCTGTTAATTATTTAATTACCTATGTGTTACTGTGAAGTTTTTTACTAATTACGTTTCTTTTTTCCTGTGCAGCGCTTTGAATTGACTTGATACTAAACATGCCTTGCTTATGGGTGTGTGTGAGATGCTTCTATACCTGAAAGTGGGGCTACACTGACGGAAGCAAGTGTCAGTGAAATAGCTGTATACTACTATGTGCAGTTGAATTCAGTTGGAAAAGTCAAACAGCACCCAATAGGCTCACTTTATGAAGTTTAACTACAAAAAAAAAGGATTTCTGGGTTTATAAACTTACATGTATAGATGTAAACTTTAGAGGAGGCTCTATAACGCCTTTGCTTCTTTCAAGTTTTGTGTTGTTGCAGAAAAAAAAACAAGAAGGAAATTTTAGAGAAGCAACTAACCTAACAGTCATGTTTTTGGACTGTGGGAAGAAGTCTGAGTACCCAGAGATAACCCACGAATGCTCAGGGAGAACATGCAAACTCCATGCTGAAAAAGCCCAGGCCGGGAATTGAACCCAGAACCTTCTTGCTGAAAGGCAGCAGTGCTAGCCACTGTCCCACTGATCAAACAATCAAAATGTTTGGACTAATGAGACGAGAATGGCAAAGATTAAATACATGACCATTTCCTTTTTATTTGTCCTCAGGGGGAACAAAGACTGTTAATCTATAAAGCCTTTAAAAATGTAGAGCTCAGTCTGCTGCTTCTTGTTGTATTTATATTATCTGCTCATATTTCTGTTCCTAAAAATAGTTTAACTGATGCTATTGTTGGTTTCTACAAAGCAGTCTTGATACGTGTGAGCAGTGTAACTGTATGAAAAAAAACAGACTAAAATCAAAGCCGTTCAAACAGAGATGAGTGCTAGCAGTTAAAAATGAGAACTTTTGGGAAAATCAATCAGCTGCTGATGGGTACCATCGGGATCAGTTTCTATCTCCTCATCTCACACCAGACTGCAAGGATTAGCCTTACTGATTTCTATAAAACAAAAAGTATAATAATTTCTGAAAGCATTATTAAATACATTACTCCTAGCCTTTCTATCGTATAATAAGGGCAAAGAAAGCAACTATGGGAGGAAGCAGCTGTAAAAGAGATTGGGAAATTGGGAGTCTTTTACAAATCTAGGAGCTGACAAAACTATCTCCATGCCTGGCAAACAGCAAATATAATTTAGTTTTTTGTTTTGTGTTACAGATGTTACTACATCGCTATTTGAGGATTGTGGTTATGAAACACCGTGTAATTTTGTTTTCTCTTTCCTATCAGTGTGCGGTTTGTCTGATGCAGTCAGGCTGCCATGGCTCTGGTTCAGCCACTACCTGTGAGTGACCATTCCAATCAAGGTCTTGAACTCCAGCAGCGCCGGCCGCCATCATCTAGCTCCCCCACGGACCCCTGCTCTGTCCCTTGTGGCGCCTTTAGCACCGATTCAGCCATGGGTTCAGTCAGCAGTCTCATATCAGGCAGGACATATCAAGAGAGGCATTGCAGGGCTGGCAGTGAATTCCCACACAAGCCACGGCGCTCCACACCAGCTACCAGCTGCTTCCGCCTGCAGGATAAGAGCCTTCGCAGTGGGAGCTCCCTGGAGCAGTTGCTGGTAAATGGCAATCCAACACAGCCGCAGGCACAGGTTCTACCTCCACCACTGCCCACCAAAAAGCAGCCGAGACCCGGAAACTCTGCCGGTGCAGCTGGAGATGGAGGGGTTGCTGGAGCAGCAGTGAGTGGAACTAATGCGAACTTTGGATATGTTGGTGAAGAAGTGGTTATTGGAGACTGGAATGACAACCTGGTGCTAACCGTTGCGAGTCCCTGCAGCGACCAAGAGGACCAAAAGGAGAGTGGGACTGTTAATGGCAACATTGGTGGACCTCCACCCAAACTGGTCCCAGTGTCTGGACAGCTAGAGAAGGTGAGACGAAGGTAGAGGTATAATAGTTATTGATCTCTGATGTATATTTGAAAAAAGTAAACAAATTTCTTTTAGAAAAGGAAAATGCAGACATGGAACATTAGTGTGTAAATTAACATTTGATGAATCTGCTACTGAAAAAATAAATTTAACATTAATACGTGTTGGAAAAAAAGGTCAACCTTTTCAATTAACTTATAGTATTATCAATACAGGGTCACCTGCCTCTACAGTGAAACAATCAAAATTATTAGCATTTTAAAAATCACGTTTCTAAAACAAAAAGCATCATGTCATTCAAATAAACAGGACTCTTGCAGTACAGTTAAATGGCAAGTTGCATTATCTTTGTTTTTGCTTTTTATAAAAAAAAATGAACAAAAAGCTGTAAAAAAAAATAATAATAATAATAATCCACAGAGCACAACCAAAAAATATATCTCCTCTAAATACTACAAACAGGAGAGTATCTGAAATGTTAATGTTGATACCTGGTGGAACCTACTCTCAGAGATATTTTTATTTGGGAAGGCACGCTGCTTCTGCTCTTGGGAATCTGCTAAATATATAATTTTTTAGAGTCTGTATATTCTAGTAGAAAATAATTCAATTACTCATTTAGTTTGCCATTATTGCAACAATTGATTCATGTAGATACATTTGATAATTGTTTCAGCCATCATAACAAATTAGAATGTCAGTTTACCTCACCAGAGGTAACCTTTTGTGTTGTAAACACAGTGCTAAATAACAATCAGCAGTATTGATAAATGTTCTTCAGTATTTGAATTAATTTGCACAGATGGAATAATGCCCAACTGCTGCATTTTTCTCCTGTTCATGGAACCACTGTTACACACAAAACTCTTAATACAATTATACAAAAAGGTAATTGTATTTAGTAATCCGCTCTAGAACTATTATATAGCAAATCAGTGTATTCTTCTTCTCTTTATTACTGAAAATTTCCCCTTTGGTTTCAGCAAAGATTAGTCTGCAGAGTTCAGTGTTTTTTCCATACGATCCCTACCAGACTGCTGACAGATGATGTTCACAGAGACCTGCTATTTATGGCATCATTGTTCAGACTCAGCAGAACATGAAACGCAATTCCAGAGATCTTTGATGGTCAATAACTTTTGAGGCCAGGCATTAATAGTCTTGAATTTCCTTCATCCATACACAATCTGTCCTACCAACCTTTCAAACAATTTTTATCTGAGCTTTTTTTTTTCTTGTGTTTCTTGTTGCAAAATAGTTCTGGCTTATTGAACATTTGTAGAAACTTTCTTTTTTGGGGAGGTCTTTCCCCTTTTAAAGGTCTCGAAGGTAAGTCATCTGTCTCCATTTAACCCCGTCTTCCACATCTTATTCTCTCAAACCATAATATTTTAATGTCTTATTTCATTTCATCCATAAATGTCCTCTTTGGTATTCCTCTACTGTAGGCCTCCTTTCTGGCAGTTCCAGTCTCAGCATCTATCTGCTTAGGAACCATAAGTAGACCATAAACCATCCCTGCTCTGCAAGTCCAGCCAGTCAGCCTAGCCTCTCTGGCTTGTGTAGAAAAAAATCATCACCTGTAAATAAAGGACTATAAATATTTGAGAACTCAGGCAGTTTAGTAACTTTAAGATGAAGAAGAGTAACAGTCTTAAAAAGGCTCTTAAGGAGTCAGTTCACATCACTATTTTTTATACAGAGGTTGTTTACAGTGTTTAAACTTTCCTGTCAGAAGACATATATCTGCTCTGCCAATACATATTAACAAGCACTGTACAAAAGCTACGTTTGCTTTCTCAAAATATATTGCTACCTTGAAAGTTCTGATAAAAAGACAGAGAAAATAAACAGATTGTCGTTTTTGTATGGACATGAGTTAAAGGAATAAAACAGAAGATGGGACTCAAAATGTGAAATGTAAAGTTGTCGACAGGAATATTTTGATAGCATCTAATCAGACTGCCTAGCCAAGAGGAAATGTATCATGTTGACATGTGCCTGACGTATGCACTCAGTTCAGCTTATTTAATTCAGAATTATTTGATCCTCATAAGCGTTTGCATGTGTGCCAATCATGCTGTCAGTTGGCATAAACCACGCCTCTCAGGCAGATAAAAATGTCATTTAGAGCTGTAACAAACAAACATTTTAGTAACAGATTATTCTACCGATTATTATCACTATTAATCAAGTAATTGAGCAAATAGGTAAACTTCTGCAGACTGTTAAGCTTCTTTTACAAATAATAGGAATACATGAAAAAATGCAAATCAGTTGTTTGTTTTTTTTAGTAAAATAAAAAGCCATTGCTTAGTGAAAACGGTCATAAACAAACAAAGGTGTATATAGTTTCCCTTGCCTGTATTCTGAATTTTTTTTTTTTTTTTGTTCTGTTTTGGTAAAACTAGATAACATAAGGATCAATCATCAAAAGGCTAAACTGCTGATTTATTACTACTATAATTAAGGCATTATAAAAGCTGCACCAACCTGTTTTCACATAATGGTATGATCCCTTTTGCAGACCACTCAAAAGAAAGTTCTACCGGACACAAAGGTGGGGTCTGAGTAGTGATGGAGAATGGTGCGTTCACACCAAAAGGCCTCTAGCTCAGCCTCCTGTCTCCTTCAGTGCCTCTTTCTCCAAACCATAGGACATCACTGATCTCTATTTTGTAGACACATGCTTCACTCTCCATTGCTCTAGATTGTTGACTGTCAGTACTTGAAATTCCCCACTTCCTTTTTATCTACTCTATATAACCTCACAGCTCCACTTGAGGTCCTCTCATTCAAACATGCATTTTGCCCTTTTACACACAACCTTCCTTATTTCCCTTTTCCAGGACAAACCTGCATTTCTCCAGTTTTCCCCAACCTGTTTCCTGCTCTCACCATAGATCACATTGTTATCTGCAATTATTGATTCCTGTCTAACCGCATTGCCAACCACTCCAGCACCACAGTAAAGAAGAAGGTTCTCAGCCAATCCCACTTCCTCCTTAAACTCTTGTCACACCCACAACATGCCTCATATACATCCTGCACTACTGTAACAAGGTTCTCTGCTACTCCAACACTTCTTTACACATAACCACAGCTCCTCTCTTGGTACCTGATCGTATGCTTTCCTTAGATCTACAAAGAAGCATGGTGATGAAACCATACTGCTGCTCATAGAGGCTTACTTCTTTCCTTAGTGTGGCTTACACTGCTCTTCCCGTAACTTCATTATATGATTCGTCAGCTTTATTATTCTGTGCAGTAGTTGCCGAAACTTTCAAAATCTCTCTTGGTCTTAACAATCTCTCCTCCATTTAACAAGCTAGTCAAAAACTCTCCTGCTGTCTCTTCTAGCTCTTTATTATCAGGAACAACCAAATTTCTCTTCCACCACCAAGTCACTGTATGTTTTGTTTAGCCTCATCTTCCTTTACCTCTATGCTGCAGCTTCTGTTATCCCTGGAACCTATTTCTCTTTAGTCCTTCCTGTGTCCCTCTTCCTCTTTGCTGATTTCTTTCTCTGTACAATCTCCTGTTCTTCCACCACCGCCTTATCAATTTCCTTCATATTCAATATTCTCAATACTGGGTGTAATCTATCTGCGTGCCCCTACCAGTACTCCCTACTGCCATTCTCTTGCACCGTATAGGCCTATGTGAAAACTGCACGGTTATAGTTATAATGCTGGTTTATCATGTCATATGTTTAAATAATTAGTGTTAAATTTCTTGATCAGATAGTGTTATTGTCACCATTTACCAACATTTGTTTTTAAAGTAAGGGACCAAACTTTTCAAATCAAGAATGTCTGCAGGAAAACAAATATTAGTTACACAATTATAGGCATTAATCGAGATGACGGGGGATGAGGAGGGATGGCATTCCCCTTCTTAAAAAAATCTTAAAAATCATGCCCCTTCTTAAATGACCATCCCCCCATACCATCCCCTGGGACTTTTTTATTACTGAATGTGTAAATGTCTACTATATATTAACAGTAATTGAAATAATATTGCCCTTTCAATATTTGGCAGTCTGTGCGCTTACGAGTAGCCTGAGCAAAAATGCGATTTCATTTTTAAACCTCAGTCGCGCAACCAGCGGAGCCGGTGTAATGTGAAAAGACGACTCATAATGCAGACCCATTATGGAGATACAGAAATTTTAATAGAATAGACATACATTATTTACTAAATTTACCTGCTCTTAATAATGTTTTATATTTTTATAGCATGTCTAGGGAAAAATAACAATTCAAGAAATCTTTAATCACATTTTGGCAAGTCAAAATGCATTTGAAATATCTTAAATGACGTCATCTAATTTGTCATTTAAAGTGTCACACATCCGGAATTATAATTAAGATGTTTCAGTTAATTTGGACTAGTACAAACTATATTTTTTTAATATCCGAATTATGAAATATCCCCCTAGTGCTGTCACTGAGCTGTCCTAACAGTTTCCTGCAGAATTTTGCAGATATTCATTTGCAATGTTTTGTGAGCTTTTGTTCTAAATCTTAATAGATTCACTGCCAAAGGATTTTTCAAAGAAAAATCAAAGAAGTGGCCAACCATGACTATAAAGCTGCTCTCAGTGGGAAATGTGTCCCTAACTATGTAGGGGCAGTGATAGCCATGCCACTCCAGGGACTGACTGCAGTTCTACTGTAAGGTGCCTTGGTCAAGGTCAATGACCGGTGTACCTGACATGTAACAACTATACCATGCATGTTGCTTTAGGTTAATAGACTATATTAATGATGCTATGCATATTTCTAAAGCTCAACTACTGATTAGAGGATAATGAAAATATATGGCAGAAATAAATAAGAAAAACATTAGATTCAGAATTATATGAAAAATACATAGGCATACAATAGAAAATCATTATTTTAATATTGTAATATCCAAACTATAAAACTGAATAATTTGTAAGTTATCCGTTTGCAGTGGTGGTTGTCTCATAAGAGGTGTGCCCCTTTTAAATTTAACAATCTTCTCAGATAAAGACCATTTTAATTATGAAATCACAAAAATGCTCTTTGTGTTTGTGTGTATATCTTAAAACGATAACAAGTTCATTAACAATCTTAAAACTAGTTTTAACTGATTTCTGTTCAGTTTTTAATTACCCATCTTAGGTTTGACTAATGTATGAGGTCACCATCACGATGACTTAAAAATGAGTGAAAATACCTCCTTTATAATGAGCAGGAAGATGTTATTCAGATGCCAACTTACACATGATTTGTCAACTTTGAAATATTTTCTAATGATGATGACATCATACACATAACAGAGGAAGCAATTATTTTTCTTTATCGTTGAGTGATGTCAGCCCAGTGGAATGCTGTCTAAGACCAACTGGCCATATTGGTCATTAAAAGACAATCGGGAGTCACTCTAAAGTAAAGATGTAAAGGATATATGTTTTTATATTTGGTTTTGCAAATAAGCATGCTACACTTTTTGTAATTATATTGAAAAATGTATGCCGTTTCATTTTGTGTCACAGTTATAAACTATTTAATGTTTTATTCAATGACTTTAGTAAAAAAAAAATCCTGTTCCTTTAAGAGTAATGCTTTACATTGTGTGCGTTACAAAATAGCACAAATTAGCTTTTTATAAGTCATCAATAATACATTTTAAGTTTTCCTTTTTCTTTTCAGAACATGGAGAAAGTGTTGATCCGTCCCACAGCATTCAAACCGGTCATCCCCAAGAATCGTCATTCTATGCAGTACCTGTCTCCACGGCCAGGAGGCAGCAATCTGTCTGAGAGCCAGGCCAGTCTAAACCTCCTGTTGCCCCTTGGCGCCCCTAACAGCTCCAGTGGAACCCACAGTAACGCTGGAAGCTGCAGCTCCAGCTCTGAAGGGAAACCCAACTTGTACAGTGGATGTCGTAATGCTCGCAGCAGTCAGTCCTGCTCCATGTCAGATTCAGGGAGAAACTCCCTTTCCAGCATCCCTACCCAAAGCAGCACAGTGTACAGTTTGGCCCCAAGTGAGGGCTCCAGCTCGGGTTCTGGTTCGGGGGGCCCGGCGGAGCCTGTGTCAGCCCTGGTTCGTAATGCTCCAGGAACAGGTGGAAGCCATGGTCATAGCAATTCGGACAGTGGACGTTCCTCGTCCAGTAAAAGCACGGGCTCAGGGTCACTGAGAGGTTGCGGGCAGCCCCTCTCTGACAGTGGGTCTTGTGGACACTCACCACCGCCTGTGGAGGGATATGAGGTGGTGGTGAAGGAGCTGGAGGAGAAGCTGCGGGAGCGAGACCTCGAGCTCCAACAGCTCCGGGAAAACCTTGATGAGAATGAAGCAGCCATCTGCCAGGTAGGGAACGATCCTCTCATCATAAGATCAAACCCCATTTAGAGTATTTAAAATAGAGGCTATGATGAGAAGTTGGTCCAAGAAGAAAACAACCTCTGATCTCTCATTCTTACATTTCGCTTTGACAGGTTTATGAGGAGAAGCAGAGAAGATGTGAAAGAGAGATGGATGAGCTGAGACAGAGCTGTGCAGTCAAGATGAAACAAACCTCTCAGAAAGCTCAGAGAGCACAGCAGGTGCTGCAGTTACAGGTATAGCAAACACTCAGAAACAGTTTCATGTTCTATACAATCCTTTGCAAAACTATTCATACCTCTTTTCCCCTTTCTTCATATTATAACTGCAAGCATTAATGGACTTTATTGGGGTATAAATCTGCATAACATATTTGTGGAGCATAATGAAAAAATAATGAATGTATTAAAATCATTTACAAAGAATTCAGGTCAGCCCTCCAAATACTTTTTAGAATCAGCTATTAGTACAAGTATAGCTGCAGAGTGTATGGGGTATGAGCTTCACACAATAATGAAGTGTATTTTCTGCATGTAAGCAATACTTTTCATGATGTGCCATATATTTTTAAATGTGTCGTTTTGATGCTTAGGATTGATGTTCTGCTGGAAGAATAAACTTTGTCCCTGTTTCTTTAGCTGTTTTGCATCCCAAATTAGTTTGTTTTCATCTCCATCCATTTTCTAATCTGCTAGCCTGATTCATATAAGTCATTTGTGCTGCATATCCAAATCTATATATCTGCTCCTTCCCAGGTATTCCAACTACAGCAGGAGAAAAAGAAGCTACAAGAAGACTTCTCCTCTCTGCTGCAGGACAGAGAAACGCTAGAGAGAAAGTGTGCCACCATTCAGAGGGAGCAAACACAGCTGGGCCCCCGTCTGGAGGAAACAAAGTGGGAGGTGAGCCAGGGCCTGACTCTGGAAAGTTCAGGCTTTAAACTAATTTGAGTGGCATTTGCAACCTTTTCTGTCTGAACATTTTGTTCATGTAATCCCTAGCAAGTGTTTCTTTCAGGAGGAAGCAAATCCAAATATTTGAGCATAAAATGAGTAACATATACACGTTTATAATGTTTCTGCCTTCCTCTCACTCCTTTCCTGCTGTGCATCAGGTGTGTCAGAAGTCAGGAGAGATCTCGCTTCTGAAGCAGCAGCTGAAAGAAATCCAGTCTGAGCTCAGTCAGAAAGCAGGTGAGATCGTGGTACTGAAGGCCCAACTGAGGGAGGCTCGCTCAGAGCTGCAAGCCAGCCAGGCTCGAACCCAGGAGGCCCAGACTGCAATGCGGACGCGATCCCTTGAGCTTGAAGTTTGTGAAAACGAACTCCAAAGACGCAAGAGCGAAGCTGAGCTTCTGCGGGACAAAGTGAGCCGTCTGGAGGACGAATCAGTCCGGCTCCGCGACACGCTGTCAAACCACGGTGGAAACCCGACCAAGAAGGGACTGGTCATGGGCCTTTCATTCCAACAGGGGAGAGTAGTGATGGGAAGGGGGGGTCCCAGCCCCTGCATGTACCCCAATGGAGAGGAAGGTTATCTGGTGTGGGGAGGAGAAAGCGATGAAGCCAAGGCTCAAAGGCAGAATGCAGAAACACTGATGGGACTTCGACAGCAGGTATTATTTTAGTTTGTTTTTTTACTTTTTCTTGACAGAGATTAAGAAAAAAAGATTACAAAGGAGAATATTGTCAAGTATTTTAGGAAACTGCCTTCTTAATGCAAGTCTATTTTTACATGGCATCTATTGAAACAATTGCAATCTCAGGCACTACTAGACAAACGGGTCCAATCCATGTCAACAAATATATGTTGGGATCAGTCCACTAAAATCCAATCATGTAGACAATTAAAATTAAAATGTTACATCATCTAAAGTTTGTTTTGGATTCATATTATGTGTAGATTTTGTGTAAAGCTTTGAAAAAAAACTTTTAAAATAACATTCTGAAAGGCTTATAATTAACACCTCTCTCTAGGTACAAAATGTTGTAAATAAAGCTGCATTTGTGAAAGCCAAGAAAAGGGAGATGTTGACATTATTTCCAGCAGAATATTCTTATTCTTTTCTCCTGTTAGCGCTTCCTTAGAAAGATGTGAAACTTTAGCAGCTCAGTATTCCAGTACATGTAATTTTGTTACTAGTATAGCGCTCTTTCTATTTCAGGCTGTCACACACCTGAAGTCCCAGGAGGCAAGTTTAGCTTAGCGGCTGTTTTTGTTTGTATCTTTCACCACATAAACAGTAAGCCTGTTTTTTGTTGTTGTTTTTTTTCAGGTTGATCGACTCAAAGCTGAGCTCATGTATGAGAGAAGAACTGGTGAGGAGCAGCGGTCACGTTTTGAGGAAGAGAGAAGGGTGTGGCACGAGGAGAAAGAAAAAGTAAAACTCTCAACTGTTTCTGTTTCACACATTGACAGTTATTTCCTTTATGATTTTATTGACTTTTTTTCTTTTACCGATAATCAAGGTAATCCGCTACCAAAAGCAGCTGCAGCAGAACTACATTCAGATGTATCGCCGCAACCGGGATCTTGAGCGAGTGATGAGGGAGCTGAGCCTGGAGCTGGAGAACCGGGACATGGAGGACTACGAGGTCCGCAGTGGCAGCAATGACATCCACTTTGAGGAAATCACTGCCACAGAGATCTAAACACAGCACATCATTTGTTCACAAAAAATGGAGGAAAACACTCAAGTGTCCCAGAAGATGCAAACCAAACATTGAACTGTGAACCAAATGCTGCACTAGCTTCAGTATGGTGTTACCTGGAGCGATGACCGAGCTCTCACCACTGTTAAAATCGGGGACGTTTCATTAAGGTGCATTGTTACTTCCTCTCATATGGCATCTTCTACAGCGTTTCTATTAGGTTTTTACCAGCACAAAGACTGCTTCCTTCCTGAGACCAAAAGCAGTGAGGTGTTTATCATTCTCAGAATATATTTAAATCAGGGTATTTAAATTAAAAAGGAACCTAAAGCAAAAAAAAATAAAGAAAGAAAGATATGAACTATTCCCTACAGAACAATCTCATGACACAGCACTTAAGCATCTTAACAGCTTGCAGTATGAAACACTGGCCACCAGCATGTACAGAAAATCACGAGGCATTAACACAGCAGTTCATTTAGCAGTGACCAATTTAAACTGTGGCGCTAGAAACAACCAACTTCACATGCTCAACAGTTTTTCCCTTATTTGCCAGACTGTAAATAAGTTGGTAGACACGTTTGTACTTTAGGTGTTTCGGCTGCAGTTTGTTTTATTACAGCAAATGTGTGCTAACCTGTCTTTCCAGAGAGAAGCAACATAATAACTCATCTCTGCTTAGCTCACTGTGAGAAAAATGGCACGATTTCACCTGAGATTTCCAGCTTTGTTTTGTTTGGGATTGTTCGGTTTATCTGCAGAGGAAAATCTGCAAAATCACGCCAACTAATATTAACTTTGACGTTGGAGCACTGGGTTTGCTTGCTTGTGGACATATTGTTCTGTCCCTTCAGACTCTAGGACTAGATAAAAGCTAATTCTCCCTTTGAACTTGTTTTTTTTTTATAATCAGTCATACTGTGCCTCAAAACTAGTTCAGACAATCTAGCAAGCCCATATTTAGCTCGGGGAATAAGTGAAGCATGGTTGATATTACCAAGGTTTATTAAGATTTCTCTCCTTTTAATATCTTTTATGTCCCATTCCAACTTTCTGCCTCATGAACTAGTTTTTATTCTTCCCACTGATTAGTTAGTTATTCAGAATGAAATTAAACCTAAACTGTGATAAAAAAAAAAAAAAAGTACAGGTTTACAGTCTAATGTGGCATCAAAGATTTTAGGATATGACTAGTTTGTGTTTTCTCTGTGACTCCCACAGTGCAGGTTAAAACTTTACACATGGAGTGGATCAAGCAGGGTAACATTCATACCTCTGCTCCTGATTCTTCTTTTTCCAAAGATTTAAATAATTATCATAGAATCAGACACCCCTAAAATAATAGTCGCAGTGCATTTCTCAAAGCTAAAAACCGTATTGCTTTCCTATTACCGCTCTAGATGTCGTTACTAGCAAATCAAAGCCAAAAAGGTGTAAAAGTCTTCCAAGTTCCTACTAGGTGGCCTAATCATTTTTAATAAATGCTATAGGATGTGAGAGTGGCATGTCTGCATGTCCATGTTCATAGGAGATTCCTGGAAAAGCAGGCATCAGGTGATGTGAACGTTTGCAAGGGTGTGTGCCTCTGCATTGTTTTCTGCAGGCTTTTCATGGAGGTCGAGGAAAATTCTCACAGTAAACGCGGGGCTGTGTGTTACACTGAGCATAGAGTTATACGGCTGCTGAGAACTTTATTTTACAAAGAGTCTATATTAAGGAATGATATTCTAGATAAATGGGAATCTATAAAACGGAGGAAAAGTTGTATATTTTTTATATATGTGTAGCACCTCAATATATTTTGCTGTATTACTGATGTGGATTAATGTAGATGATATACCAATGTTTCAGTTGATGGATCAGTTGCAAATAGAAGAATCTGCAGACAGAACGCGTGCACCTAATACTGTAATGCATGACAAGTTAATGTTTACATTATATATTCTGTGTTTGAAAATCATGCATTCTGAGGATGAGCAAACTTGCTTAAAACTAGGTGACAAACCTGAAGGGAGTATTTTTATGTTTTGTTACATTTTGGCCATCTATCTTTGAGTTGATTTTCAGTATCATAATGTTTATTGACTCCCTGTTGGAATTTGTCAGAGCATTTGTTAGTAAATGCAGGATACCAGTGTTATTTTTAAGGGACATCTTTACTAACATGAGAGCAGAACTGAAGCAAGCCAAAGGAGTGTTAATTTCCAGTCATATTTAATTTTGTTGCACATTATAGCCATTTCTATTAAGGTTCATCAAACACTTTCACTGTAACCAGACGTAGACTGTTACTCAGCACATCTGCACAACAACAAGCACAAGAGGCTTCTGACTCATACGCTTAAAAGTTTTCTCATATCACAGCTTTATAATATAACCATATATATATATGGTTATATTATATATAACCATTCTAATGATCTTCTGTGTAAATATGGAGAACATCTAGCAGTATAACAGCATCATCATCTTTTATTTAGACAAAATATCTATTTCCAATGTAGCCACTGCGACTAGACCAAAGCAACGTAACATTTCTATTGTTTGGGCTTTTTTGTGACATTGTTTCATTCTTTTATGAGCATTTATTTTGCATTTTTAATTTCTATGCATCGTCATGAACTCGTAAAGTATTTAGCTGTCTGTGTATATTTTTATGTGTACATTACTTGTACAGATTACAGTGTTTTTAATTAAAGAGCAAGTGGTCACATCTTAAATGTGTGAAGTGATCATTTCTGTGGAGCATAAAAAATGCAAAAACTTACCTTGTTTACATGAACTTAGTTATCTGTTATACAGTTGCTAAACAGCACCAATAAACCTAAAAAATACATATATATATATATATATATATATATATATATATATATATATATATATATAGATGTGGCAATCCCAAGCGACAGCAACATCAAGAAGAAAGAACACGAGAAGCTTGAGAAATACCAAGGACTGAAGGAGGAGCTAGAAAAGATGTGGAAAGTAAGAGTAGCAGTGGTGCAAGTGGTAATTGGAGCACTGGGGGCTGTGACCCCCAAACTGGGAGAGTGGCTACAGCAGATTCCAGGTAAAACATCAGAGGTCCCTGTCCAGAAGAGCGCAGTCCTAGGAACAGCTAAGATACTGCGCAGAACCCTCAAACTCCCAGGCCTCTGGTAGAGGACCCGAGCTTGAGGATGACACATACCACCCCACCAGGGGGGAGAAAACAGTTTTTTTTTTTTATAGATATATATATATATATATATATATATATATATATATATATATATATATATATCTATATAGATATATATATATATATATATATATATATATATATATATTTTAGGTTTATAGGTTTTATCAACAATATTAACAGTATAAATATGATTTAGGTAAATAAAATTGAAATAAATGATTGCTAATTTTTTTTATTCTTTTTATTTCTGAAATGTCCAATATTAGTATGGTTTTTGTGAAGTCAATTGGTATCTATTTTTTTTCTTCATTTTTTGAAGACAACTATTGAAAGCTGCACAGAACAGTTAAGACTGGTAATTTGCAACATGAAGGTCCCAGCTTCACACTTTGTCTGGGAGTACCCCATCCCCCTACCGACTTCCCCGTTTGCTTTTTCTTGCATTGCATCGTTGGACTAAGTTACTGTTAAAACACCAAATATATGCCAGGGTCTGCTGTGCAAAGACTATCAACAGAGAAGACAGTGTTTAAAGGTTTTTGGCTTAAATTAGGGCAGGAGTAGCATAGTTAATACTCCAACAACAGCATGAAGATTCTACGTTAAAATTTCAAGAAAATACCTAGTGATTTTAATTTGAAAAAAATTTGAATTATGACACTTTAAAGGAGATATAAAACACAGCATTTAACCATAAATGACACTTTAAAATATATTAAACAGGTTACATAAAAATTCACCAAATATGCTTCATAATGTTAAAGGTAAACATAGCTGCAGAATCTGAAAAGAAATACCAGTTTGTTTAGGGGGTTTTCCAAACAAAATGTCAGCTAGAAGTTTCTCAGCCAATTAAATAACAGATAAGACACTAACTGAACTTCAAGGACTGATAAACACTTACCAGAAGAGCTACGAAGTAGAAAATCATCAGTTGTTGCACAATTTCCTTCAGAATCTCACAAATTATTCTTTATCACTTGTGATCTTTTATTTCTTTGGATACATTTTAATAATCTGTGCTTTCAGCCTGTTAAAAACAACATATACATTAAGTAGCTACTCAAAAATATTGACACACAAGTAACGGCCTTTAATATCAGCCACATGCGTGGGCATAAAGCTGTCACTTTGGAGCATTTATGACTAATACTTTATCAGTGTTCTCCTCCCTCTGCTATTCCATAGAAATAAGGCACGATGCACAGCACATTCTTCTGCTCTTATCTTCGTTCCCTTGCTCTGATTTAACCCTTGCCACCAGTGTCCAAGTTTTGCATTTCCTATTAATGAGATTTTTCAACTCCTTTACATGTCTAGATTAGCTTTAACCACAGCAGGCTGTGAATAAGCCTTTTCTTCTGAATGCAAAAACTTCTGCCACTGAACCGACAAAGATACAGAGCTGAATATTTTAACCACACACACACACACCCTACATATCCACTAAAATCAAACTCTCAGTTCGGAGATAATACGGAGCTTTAATCTGGGTATGAATCTATAAATCTCATAACACAAACTGGGATAATCTCCTTCTGGTAGCCTTTCTGATGGCTGCTCACTCTCAGGCAGTGCTAAAAAGTCCCAGCTAGGCCTGTTAAACAGTGGCAGGCTGTCAATCTAGAGCATGTATAAATCATATAATAAACATTTCCTATACTGTCCTTTAGAAAAACAAGACTTGAATACCATTAGTGCTCATGTAAAACATACGCATTTCATAAAATAAAAAAGTTATCTCACATGTGCATGTGGCAAAAAAAAAAGTTTTAAAATAAAAGTCTGCTTCATTAATTTAGTTTCCCTAAGGAGTTGCAGGTTTTGTTGTCATTAACTGGTAAGGCACACAGTGTGTTTAATCAGCAGTTCTCATGCTACTGGTGGGGAAGTGGAGGACCTTTGGGATCTTCACCACAAAAACCATTGGGTCTCTGTCCTTGTTGCTGAAGGAGCGGCGTATAACGTCCACAGCGTGCTGATGAGTCACTCCCTGCAGACTCTCGCCATCGACAGACATAAGCTCATAGCCTGCCTGTAAATGGACAGTCAGGTACAGCATTTATTTAAAAATACAGCTAAAAAGATATTATGTGAGCATTCAGATGTTCTTCATATAACTCTATAAAAGTCTGCATTCTACATAAATATACATAAACATATTCACACTATGCCTCATGCACATTATAGTCTCCCCTTCAGGACAAGGTCAGTCTAAGAAAACAAAAAGTCTCTAACATCTGGAAATGCACACGTGTAACACAGCATTTGTGCACTGCTTCCTGCAGGATGCAGGGAGACGGCTACAAATCTTCAGAGCTCTGGGCAGACGAACTTCCTCTGATGTCAACATCGTTTGCTGAGGATGCACCTGCCTCATGCGCACAGTCAAGGTTAGCAAGGGTGTTACAGAAAAAGCACACAAGGACAAAGTCCATTGTTACTTGTCGCACAATCAGCTTTTTTCACTCTCTCTTTCCATTATTTATTAGATACGGATCTTATTATGCATATATATAAATATGGTTAATATATATATATTTATATATGTGTGTGTGTGTATATATATATATATATATATATATATATATATATATATATATATATATATATATATATATATATATATATATATATATATGTATATATATATGTATATATGTATATATATATATATATATATGTATATATATATGTATATATATATATATATATGTGTATATATATATGTATATATATATATGTATATATATATATATATATATATATATATATATATATATATATATATATATATATATATATATATATATATATATATATATATATGTATATATACACATACCTCAGCTGGGGGAAAACAATGTTATATTACCGTCAGTACAGACCTAACATAGTTCAAGTGTTATATTAGCAAAAAGCATTTCAAGGATTTAAGAGTGGTCTAGAAAAAGAGACATGGATAGATATACATTTCAGTGAGTTTTTTAAATGATTTTTGAACAAACATTAACAGCTAGGCTGGCCTTAATTCTGTGTGTTTCTTTAAGACCTAAGACATGCACCTGAGGTGTTGAACAAAAAAACACTTTCTCAAAGTCCTCGACCTATCTCTTTCCCAAAGGTGTGGTCAAAAATTGACAGATGGTTTGTAATGAAAATAAAGGACAGATCCCAACACTTAAAACAATTCTAAACCTTTTATGCTCTCCTCTTTTTTAGAACAGGTAGATCATGTTCTCGCTCTGATTGCAGATACTGTGCATGTTCACACACAAAGAGATGGTAAGAATAAGGAGCAAATGTTAAAACTTAAATCATTGATATGGAAAACCTCATCACATGTTCCAACTTGTGCATATTTAATTCCTTTAAAGTGCATGCTAACTGGCAGCTTGATGACTTATACTGCAAATAAGCCTTCAGTAAATGACTTGGTGTATCAATTGTTTAAGAGAAAATCAAACCTTCAGCTACTATTAAGCAACTGTGCAGGCAATATATTACCAATACATTAGCAAACCAGCACCCATGTACTTCATTAATAATAGAGAAAGTGTGCTACCTGAGATGGCTCTCCACTAATCTTCTCCTCACTGAACACTTTTGACAGCAAGCTACTTGAACTCATAGCCACAGAGCAGAGATCTGATAACTACCTACTAGACACTTGAATCCATGTGGCAGACAAAACATTATGTTTAATATTATATCTAACAGAAAGATGGACAAATATTTGATTGCCTTGTAAATGCACTTGGATGCATGCCTCAAAGTCTTAACAAAATAGAATGGTAAAACAAATATTACCAGATCCCTACCTTTAGAGCCTCATTTGTAGATGCAGCACCTCCTGGAAAGATTTTCTCAATCTTTATCACAGGCTGGATCTTAGACTCGATACCTCCAGAGACGCTAATACCTGTAGAAGAACCAAAAATAAAATTATATGTTATTATAATACTAAAGTGATTCAAGGTTCTGATTCTTGGACTAAGAGCATCACCATGTCACCCATTCAACATGTTAAATCTCTGCAATCACATTTTGGCTGTGAAATTCTCACTACTGTCTTTTATAGATTCAAAGCAGTTGAGTTCCTGCACCAATCCTTACCTGAATAGCGTACACATAGATAATCCTTTTGTCCCAACCTCCTCTCCATTTGCAGACCTATGCAAACTAGTTTAATCTTCTCTATATTTCTATTAATCATGGGAGTAAATATTTCAAACGTTCCAGTTTTACATATAATATGTCACTGATAATTACAAATTATTTTAAGGGAAGATTTAACATTCCATCAAATCCCATAAACCATAGATCTGACTTCTTTTTTTCATGACCCCTGATTTGATCTAATTAATTGTGAGCAATCTCCTGCTGGTAAATATTAATAATTGGAGTTGCATTATAAACATCTAGCATAGTTTACTGTTAAATAAACAGTAAACTATGAGTAGAAAATACTTTAAAACTTTGTCCCTGTACGATAGAAAATGTCCCATAGTAGACCACTCTTTTTTTGTTCTGATGTGCATATACATACACTCTCTGTTACCTGTCATTGTACCAACAACTCATTCAAAGACTGCAGACATTTTGATGATATGATAATCAGCATATATTCAGCCCTAAACTGTGCCTGCTTCTTCCACTTAGTAGTAGAAAACCCTTTGCGCTCTTGGTTAGTACAGTAGCAGCCATTCGAAATGGCCCTTCCCAGTCTACTTCCCTGCAGCTCCCAGCAAAATCCCCTCCAACTTCCAGTCACTGGACTGACTCCCTCCTTCTCCTGGGCGTGCATTTTTTTACTCTGACTCCACCCTTTTACTGAATTACAGGGTCTGACCAGGAGATGACGCTTCTCTTAAGATCATAATGTCCACAAATCATGACAGATAGAATATTTTAGTACAAATATTGGATGTTTAAAACTGAATTGTAGGGGACCAGCCAGGAACCAGCCAAAGGCCCATCAAGGAAAGTGGGGAAATTTTGAATGGCTACTACAGTAGCAGCTTTGCACATGCTGACAAGTTTGCATGATTTTTTTTTATACAGGCAAACCTTTAGTAAAATACAGCTTAAATTAAAACTATATTCTATCCTCATCTTTTTCTTCAAATCAAAGGTAAATATAATTTTAGATGCTGGCATTGCAATTATCTTTACTTGTCTACAATGTAAGTTGTATTTACCCAGTGATTGCTTGGCCTTAGGGATGGTCAGAGTTGTAATTTCATACTCCTCGGTTGGTAGAGGTTCTTTTCTTTCTTGACCATTTTGAAAGTGTCCATTTACCTGCAGGCTACGTTCCATGCCCAAAGAGGGGCTTTTCTCTCTTCGGGGGATAAAAACTTCATCTAGAGGGGTTCTTCTCCTCTCCTGTGAGGGAACCCGCACACTGACCTCAGTGTAGCCATCCTTTCGGCTCTGTCTGCCGTATATGCTGTCAGGACTCCCCTCTTTCCTGCCCCTGCCATGGCTGTTCCTCACAGGTGACCTCCCACGCTCTGGAGTGGCATCTCCACAGTCTGATACAGACAACAAAGATGCCTGGTCGTACCTCAGTGTCCCATTCTCTCTCCTGTTCGGGGAGTGGTGAGGTTGGTGTCCACGCTGGGTGTTGTAAGGAGATCCATTAAGGAGGAAGCTATGACTGGGCGAGGGGCTTGGAGTGCGTGATCGTGCAGTGGAAGATGTGTAGTTATCCACAGGGACATCCAGCAGAGGGGTGAAGGTACGAGAGGGCGGCAGGTAACCTGATTGTTGGTCGGCCAGACGAAGTCTCCCAAACTCTTGGAGTAGCTGATGCTCCTGTTGAGTATCATGAACTGGCTGAAGGTGAAATCCACCCCTGTAATCTGAGGAATCATAATCACAGTAAAAACCTGTTCATATCCTCCTCAAAACTTGTTAGAATTTTTAAAAGTTTGAGATATTTGCTGCAAAAGGGAATGACTTAATTAAAAATGCTTACTAACCAAACCTTTTGCTGATAGCAAATGTATCTTCATTATTATAATATCTAACCTCTGTGTGCAGCTGTTGCAAGCTGACACCATTAGTAAAAAATAGGAACATTTATGTTTATGTTTGGGCACCAGCAACCCCGCTTGGGATAAGCGTGACAGAAAATGGATGGATGTTTATGCATTTAGCAGACGCTTTTATCCAAGCCACTTAGGGAAAAAGGGGGCTTTTCACATACCATGTTTATGAGGGATGAAAATCACTTCAGCAAATAGAGAAATAGGGGAGGACTACACACAAAGAGGAAAAGGCGAATAACTCTCATACCTGGTACTGGAGTGATGAGGTAACGCCGAGGGGTTCCACTGCGAGGTGAGCGAAGAGCTGGGGAGCGTACTAAAATAAAAAAAAGAAATAAAAATAACTGTTCTATTCAGTATACCCTCTAACTATGAGTTACAGGTTTCGACATACTGAGTTTCATTCAGAGTTTACATTGATTTTTAGGATATCAGTAGAAAAAAATACTGAACATTTTTTTGCTTACTAGAACGACTCTTGAGAATGTCATAGGCTTCCAGCTCAAACGGCATCACCAAGCTGTCAAAACGACCCAACTCAGTAGTGGGTATCAGCATTCTGCAGGAGACAGTATCAGAGCCTGTCAACCCATATTTACACAGTATGTGATGCTTCAGGATCAGAGAGGATTGTATGCACACCTTATTTCTCTGAGTAGAAGCAGCTTCTCTGGTCGATCCAAGATTGCCAGCAGAGGGCGTATCAAATCTTCAATCACATTGTCAGACAAAAACTGCAAGGAATGGAACCCAATAAAAAAAAATGTGCTTAACAAGGTTTTAGAAATTTAGAAATTCCATACACAAATGTTAAACTTTAAATCATATTTTGAGATATCCAGCTATAACAGGGAGATTTGGTGTCTAAAAGTTATTGGACCAATGTAGGAAGAAGAGACACTGCAGTTAGTGTGCAGTTTACTTTTTCTTTTTTTACTTTTATTGATTTGCCTACAAGAGGGATAATTCTACTGGATGTCCTCCAGAGAAAGGTGAACCTCTTATCTGCATTTATTTTTTTACAATTTTTCCACAGGGAGGGGCCCAATAGCCCACTATGGTCCACTATTGGTCTTTAAACAGTACGATAAGAGGTAAGTCACTCTCTGCTCCAAACAGATTGGATGTCCTCCAATGTAAAGCAGAGCTCACTGCAGATTAGAGAGTAAAAAACACTGAAGGATTGTCCCCAGAATGATAATTGATACTAATTCTAAACGACTGGTCAAATCCATCTTTTGTTCCAGCTGCTGCAAGACACGTCTTTCTCTGAAGAACAACTTCTGACACAGCGGATAACATTGCATAAGATTACAAAGAGAACATCTGATGTTACAGGTAAATCTCTCAGAGCCAAAACACACAAAAGAGGTTGTTAATGGGTAATCCTAGCTCACCCGCCGACAATGTCTCATCACTGCAGCCACCTCGTCTGGACTGAGCAATTTCTTTGACATGTTCTCCACATGCTGCAGCGTCTCATGATGGGGAAGTGGGCTGCCTGCACGGGATTCCCTCGGGGATGAGAAGAGCTGGAACGGACGACTGCGATCGTTTTCTAGGAATGAGGTTTTATGGTTTATTGGTCAATATTATTTTTGCCCTGAGGGGGAAATAACAGCACAGCATGCTCAAAGATCAAAGAGTAAAATCAAAGCACCAAAAACAGAGAGGACAGGGTAAAAAAAGAAACAACACATGCATCAAAAATACGACGTGCAGAAATACAGTTAAGAGAGGAAATAGTTTGATGTTATGATGCATAACTACAGCAGCAGGCTGTAGTTATGCAAAAAAGACTCTTTGACTTTTGTTTTTACTGCAGACACCTTATACTGAAAGCCTGAGGGAAGAAGATGGAAATCTACTCAAAATATGACAATTGTTGCTCTGCTCAGTGCCTGTCTATTAAACATATGCTTTTAAGTAAACTTGCATGAAAGCCAGTAGTGGAAAGCAACAAAGTGCATTTACTGGATTACTATACTTAACCACTTTACTTTAGTATTTTTTATTTATTTTTTTTGGTCGGGGAGGTTGTACAAGTATTGCACTTTCTCCTCCTCTACATATGAGGAAGCTGCTAGTTCCTGGTTCCTTTTGGCTCAGCTTAGCTTTGTAAGCTGCTGCTGCTGTTTCTCTCTCTGAAATGCAACTTCAACATGCAAGATAGTAGTCCTTGGGACTGAATTTGGACATCACTTTTTCAGGGGTTTGCATGATATTCCACAAATGTGAAAAACTCAAGGAAGATATTATTTGTTTACAAAGCTACCATGTGGCCAAGTTGTTCTCAAAGCAGAGTTGCGGTTTCTTTGTAGTTATATATTCAGACTTAAACCTCTATTCCACAGTGTGAGGAGAACCAAGACACTCCTGTTTTATTTTTTGTTTGTTTTTATAAAAGAAATAATAATCAAAATAGCTGTCCTTTGTTTTTTGTGGCATTTTTAGACAGAAGTTCTTTACAGGTGTTATAGAATCTGTAGCAGTGTTCTATGTATCAATACATCAGGTGGTTTCTGAAAGTTACAAGGTTCTTTAAAATTACTTGTTACTAATTTTACTGAAATGTACTTTGTAAGGATCTTTATTTTTGAATACTTAACTTTAAATGCATGTACTTTGGAATAGTTAAGTATTTTCACAAGTGAATACTTCAATACATTAACATCAGTGGATGTTGGACCGAGTAACTTTTACTTGTAACTGAGTACGATTTGACAATGAGTATCAGTACTTTTACTCAAGTACTACTGTTGAGTACTTCGTCCAACACTGCTGACAACTGAGCATTACAAGACATTTCAACATTAGACAAGATGTGCACATCTATGAAGCATCATGCAAAGATTTCCACACTTTGATTTCCAGTTTGAAGACTATTTTCACTATGTAAACCTGATAGGAAAGAATTTGGGTGTGACAGCATGCTCACCATTAGGATGATGAGACGGAGACCTCGAGCGTCTTTTTTCTTTATGGTCTTTCCTGAACAAAAGGTTGACAAAGGTTTTGGAGCGCTGTAGGTTTGTTTTAGCTTCTGCTGAGCCCCTTTCCTTTTGTTGTCCCTTCCTCTTCTTCTCTAAATGTGAAAAAAAAATGGTAAAGTTGCTTCTTTAAATTAAAACACAATTGTTTAGATTTTTGCTTTAACTGAAAAAGCAGACATATAATATGTGTTAACTGCAACTTTAACTCCTGTTGCCAGCTGTATTCTGCATTCCCAGTATGCTTATGCCTCTTGTAGTCAGCTTCTCTGCTCAGTGAGATAAATCTGCCAGTGTGACCAGGAACACAGTTTTACTGATAAATTGTAGGAACAACAACTTGAATTTATTATTGGAAGAGCCACCGTAAAATGCTTCTGCTTGCATAACAAACATCCATTTGCTTTTAGCCCACAGGAGTTCCTGGAAGGATGGGTGGGTTGGTTAATTAAAAAGGATAGGCTAATAACTCAACCAGCCCTGCAAAGCTTGGATAGGCATTTCTCATTGGGCTTGTTCTTATCCAGAGGTACAAAGAGTGGCTATAGCAACCAAAGATTAATTTGAGTCCGTATAACAAATGAGTCCCTTAACAAGCTCTGCTTTGAGCTTAAATCACTCAAATTAGTAATACTTTACTCCCGAAATAAAAGAGAGGATAAAAATTTTGAAAGACTTAATAATATTGTCACCTGAATGAAGATGCTGACCATCTAAACAGGTTAGTTTACCATGATGATTTAAAAGCAATACTGTCAAGTCACTAGTGTGTTAATAGTCAACAGTGCTGTGGCCTATCAGTAAGTTCTCTATTGTCCATATATATATATATATATATATATATATATATATATATATATATATATATATATATATATATATATATATATATATATATATATATATATATATATATATATATATATATATATATATATATAAAGAAATTTGTTTTTTTCCCCTTTTTCTCCTTGAATTTTGTCTTGCTTTTAAGCCTCATTACAACAAAGGAAGCTTTCAAATGTTTTTTGTTGTTTTTTTTTAGTGTCACCAGATTGTAAAATATTGTAATAAAAACTTGAGACCCTCAACAAAAGTAATTTCCAACTCAAAATTTGATCTGTGATTTTTTCATTTAGGAAACTAGAGAGAAGAAGAGAAAGAAGGAAGCTTTACAGTAATATCATTGTGCAGGATACAAAGTTTCTTTTCCAAGCATTTATTTGTAGGAGCATCAAAGTCTACTAGATATAGTTAGGTATTTTATTTAATAAACAATCTGTATTAATATTAGTGAAAAAAAGAGTGCAATATTCCATTTATTGGACACAGCATTGTCTGTGTGGTTGTGTGTGTGTTTTGTTCTTGCTGATGTTACCTATTTAGAATCTGTTATATTTACTAACCTTCTGAAGACCAACAGGTCTTATGGAGATCAAAGTTTGGTCTACTGTAAATATGCCAAACCCCCATTTTAAATATCAGGGAGTCCTTTTAGAGGTATGGTGTGAATTAAAGTTTGGGTTAGAAAAATGCTGGTATTGGTTTGAGTCTGTCATGGTGAGAAATACAATTTTGGTGTGTGTGTGTGTGTGTGTGTGTGTGTGTGTGTGTGTGTGTGTGTGTGTGTGTGTGTGTGTGTGTGTGTGTGTGTGTGTGTGTGTGTGTGTGTGTGTGTGTGTGTGTGTGTGTGTCAGGGGAATTAGGGGGGATGTATGTGTGCTCTTAAATGTGTTTTTTTTTCTTCAAAGCCTTGGGTAAAAGCTATCACAAAGTTTGCTGGTGAAAAGAAATGAAGATATATACACCAATATGCGTCCAAATCAGATTTTTTTTTGACTATAACATTGTAAAAAATGCACTTTTTGTACAAAATTCCCTTTTGGACTTGATTGGCGATAATCTTTGCAAAAACAGGAAAGACATTATTTTATCTTTGGGTTATATTCTTTTCATTGTAATTTGTAACAATGCTTGATAGATTTGACATTTGTAAAGAAAATGGTTTTGATAGTTGAGGAGAAAAGGTGAGAGTGCGAGTTGTGCCAAAGTAAAACTGACAAAACTCTTTACCTACTAAGATGAGATTCTGTAGCCAGGGGCAATCCGTAATAACATATCTCTGTTCTCCTAAATAGTAACGTTAATTCCCTCAGAGTGGGATCTGTCAAAGACTTAAGAATCAGTACCACCTCATTAGGCAGGAATAGGAGGGGTCAGCCTAATGTGGTCATGTGTGGTTCTCAGGTGTATTCTGTTTCATATATTACTAAATTGCAGGCTGTATCGTGGCTTGTAGCACTGTTGCCTTGCAGCAAGAAGGTCCTTGGTGTGATCCCTGATCCAGGATCTTCCTGCATGGAGTTAGCATGTTATCCCTCTGTATGTGTGGGTTCTCTACTGCTCCTCCAGATCCTTGACATGTTTATCAGGTTAATTGGTGTCCCTGAATTGCTCTTTGTGTGAGTGAGTGTGTGTGTTTCCCTTTGTATGTTACAAAGGGCAACGCACGTATGTATCTGCACACCTAAGAACAATTCCCAGGATGAGTGGCATGTATATAAGGAGGCAAAGGATCATCTCTCTTCAGTAGATGATTATCCCTGATGGTATTCCAGCCAAAGACCTAAACAAGTCCTAAATTCTAAATTCTCAAGTACAAGAAACTGCATAAGACCTCCCTCTAGTTCCACTGTCAAGTTCTCCGGTGTCTTCTATAGAACCAAGTCTTTGTCAAAGCCAAGAAGTGAGAGTTTAATGCCACCTTTTTAGGCCCCTTTCATGAAAGCAGACAGGTGAAGACAGATCCAGAGAAGGTTCAAGCCATTCTCAATTGCCCTACTCCTGCAACTTGCAAGCAGTTTCTTTTGGGATTCGCCAACTTCTACCACAGATTCATTAAAAACTACAGTCCAACTGATCAACCCCTCACTAGCCTTTCCTCCTCAAAAAGACCTTTCATTTGGTTACCTGAAGCCGAAAGGGTTTTTTTGGAGCTCAAGAAAAGGTTTGCCAATGCCCTGATTCTGATTCTGCCACATCCAGAGAAACAAGTTATCCTTGTAGTTGATTCCTATGATTTAGCGGTGCGTGCAGTCCTTTCTTAAATCTCCACTGACAATAATAAACTTCATGCTTGTGATTTATTTTCCCACCACTTGTCTCAAGCAGAGCGAAACTATGGTGTGGGTGATAGAGAGCTCTTAGCCATAACAAATGGCTTTTGAAGAGTAGCGCTACTGGTTGGAGGGAGCTGAACATTCTGTTATTGTGTGGATTGACCACAATTTTGGCCTATCTCAAAGAAGAGAAATCCCTTTGCCCTGTTTAGGCAATACTCCAGTGACCAGGAACCCAATATCTCAACTGTCATTCAACCTTCCTGCATTTTGGAGGCATTATTGTGGGAAATAGAGGAACCAGTCCTGGAGGCTCTATGGTCCGAACCGGACCCTGACACTGAACATCCAAAACAGGTTAATGTTCCTAATTCCATTAGGTCCCGCCTTATTCACTTGGCCCACACAGCAAAATTATCTAGGAATCAACCGAATTCTTGCACTCGTTCAACACATTTTCAGGTTGCCTGCAATATATGTGGATGTTAAAAGTTATGTCTTACTTACATTGTCCCAGACCTAGGTAAAGTCTGCAAAGCTCGCTGAATTAAACCCCTACAGATCTATGCTACCTCCCCTTCATCTCTCAAGTAAGCAAATCAATCAATTATCATCAACCAACTCCTTCCTGATCAGTCTTTCTCCCTTCACACCACCCAGAAAGTTGGACTGACTTCCTGCAGTTCTCCGCTTCCAGATTCTTGTTGTTTTTGTAAATAAAATGTTAAAACTCACTGGTTCTCCATGTGATTCTGCATGTGGTCAAAAAAACTACAAACTAACATGACAGTGATGGACTGGGGACCTGTCCAGGATGTAGATTGTCTTTCACCCATAGACCGCTGGAGATAGGCACCAAGTTCCATTGACCCTACAAACCCCAAATGCATTTTCCTTGCAACTCTGTCTTAATTTTAGAAGGAACTAATTATTAATTATTGACCAGATTCATTGTTTAAACAAGGAAATAATGCATAAATAATGCAAATTTGAAACCTAAAATTTTCATATTTCAAAAATGACGTTGGAAATTATTGGTTCAAGTTTACTATTATCTGCTGTTTGAGGCACCTTTTTACTTTTTTCTTATATGAAAAAAATTACTTCACCATCAGAGGTGTCAAGTAACGAAGAACAAATACTTTGTTACTGTACTTAAGTGCCAAAGGAAATCATCAGAAGCAAGCAGGTGTTCTTCAAACTGCAAACGTGAATTGTCTATTCCATGCTACAACATCAGATTCAGAAAAACTGTCGAAATGTCTGAAAAGTCGGACACAGGTGAGAGCGTATCGGGAGACCGAGACCAACAAGACCTCCCTCATCCTTGGCCCTATCTCAATTTTTTTTTTTTTTTTTAATTGTTGAAAAAAAATTTTATACTTTAAGTAGTTTTTGGAGCACATACTTTTACTTGGGTAAAGAGGCCAAGTGTTTTTAAACTGCAGTATCTATACTTCCACTTAAGTAACAAATGTGTGTACTTTTGACACCACTGTTCACCATATTGTACTTTGTAACTCTAGCCCTAACCATTGGATGAATGTGCTGAAATGCTTTAGACCAGACCCCACAGCCAGACTGAACAGATCAGTTAGAAAATGACCCTGTTTTGGGTCAGTTATTGCTGTTTTGTGTGTCCATAAACATTTTATAAGCCATTTATGTCCCAAATAGCATGTGATTGATCTGTTTATCAAATAATAACAATGTTGTGAACTTCCTATAAAACATGTGATATATGTCGAGTTCACACATTAGAAGGATTGTTGCTTGAGTAATTGATGGCGGATTAAGGTGGGTGTGGGCCCCAGAATCAACTTCTGCCTAAGGCCCCAACATACAATAGGCTAGATCTGCAGTATTCTCCTGTGTCTGGAAAATCTAAGTATTCTAAATTCTATGTGTAAAGAGCAGAGGTTCCATAAATCTGGGTTGGATCAACACTTTATGATTTATGAAGATCAGACAAACAGAAAGAAAATAACTAACACCTGAAAGATATTAGTTTTGACATAACTGAAAGAATAATTAAAGCAGTGGCTTTAGATGCATTAGATGGTATCCCTCTGAATAACTCTTGAAGGCGTGTTATTTGAGTCTGCAAGATGCTGCCAAAGTTATGTTGCTGTCAGAAGCTGACAGGTTTCTTAGTCTAGTTCTTTTCTGTGATGGTGTTACTCCTACCTGACACAGTGATGTGGCTTTGGGAACGTCGGATTGGCTTTCGTGGTTTGCTTAGAGCCATCAGAGCTTCTGTTTTTGGAGACCGCCTAACAGTACCTTTGTCTCCAGCAGACAGTGTCCCCACCCGGCCCTGTCCCAGCTCTCTGGCTCCTCCCATGTCCTTTGGCCCCTCACCTTTCCCACGTACAACCGTGTCCTTTAACAGCACTGTTTCACCAACAGCCCGACTGGTTTCAGTGCCAACCAATCGGACAGAGTCCAACCTGTCAGCTGAAGGCTGGTCCATAAAGCCTGAAGGTAGGGTGTTAGTCTGTATTGCAGTGTCTGCAGTTCGCTCTGCTCTGCTTTGACGTCGGGACTGATCTTCTGTGCAAATGGCTACATCCACCATCTCTGAGTGAAAAACCGGAGGAAAAAGGACCTGAGATAGACCACTGAGGGAGCTGACAGGGGTGCTGGAGGAAAGTGAGCACACAGAGGAGTTGGAGTCTGAACCCTGAGAGGACAGTGCAGGGCCACCATTGGCTACTGTGGGGAAGAAAAAAAAAACATAATTAAAAGGATCCCAGATGTGTGTGTTTTAAATATTTATTATTCTCCAGAAACAACATGAAGTTTCAACCTCACATATGTCTGAATCACAACCTTTCTCCTCTTACAATCATTTTAGGACCATCATTATAAACCAACAAACACATCCAAAGGTTCAGGGATATTTTCATATCTATATATATATATATATATATATATATATATATATATATATATATATATATATATATATATATATATATATATATATATACAAAACAACTTTAGTATCTCATTGACAATGGAACAGATATGCCAGAGCAGTAAAGCCGTCAAAGCAAAGCAGAGAAGTCAGTGATAAGTGGAGGAGCTGTAAAGTGACCCAAAGTATCTGACTTCACTCTATGGATCAGGCCTTTATAGATAAAAAGAGCCATTGTTGTTAGATACAAAAATAGTCCTATTTAAAGTTAGTGATAATCCAAAAAACATGTGGAAGCAGGTGGAAAATGGTATAAGTCGATTAAGGGTAATGTTATTTATCTTCCCCAAAATAAAACTTGATGATTGGTGAGGTAATCAGCAGGGACTTTTCTAGAGCATGGGCAGGCATCCTGTTTAAAGTCAGTCAAAAGGTAGTTGAAGCTAATTACAGATGAAACCATTCAGGCTTTTTAAAAGACATGATAACGGAGTGGGGTGAAGTGGGGATCACTGTCTTTTAGCACAGCAACACGACAAACAGTCAGAACTGTAATTATACGGTCTAGATCAAAGAATATTGTGGCCCTAATCAAGGTTCTGACCTTGACAGTTTTTTTTATGTAGTATGTATGTAAATTTTCTCGATTACAATCACTCTTATTCAGTTAATTATAATATGTATTTTGATTATTTGTAACCATAATAACCTAAAAAGAAAAAGCAACTTACATTTATCAAGCCACCCATACTCTGCCACCATTTCCTTGTAGGCAGGGTATCTTCCAACTTCCTGTGAAAGATGTTTTCAAAAAAGTTAGAAAATTCTAGAAATTCTTGCTACTTATAAAGCACAGTATCCCTGCTTGGAATTAGCATAGATGAATTTGTTTTCATTTTGTTCCAAACATTTTTCCAAACATGTTTCTATTTCGTTTTGCTGAAGCACCTTTTTAATAGATTTCCTCCCCATTACACAGTTGAGGAGGGGAAGTGAAAACAGCCAAGATGTATTTCCATATAAGCCTTAGATGCTCAGGTGTGAAACAGTTTAATAACTAAATTGAATCCTCTCCTATGCCTGCCTCTGATCCACAGCTCAAATAAAGGATAATAGGAAGCCATAAAATTTGGTTTTCTGTTGATTATCACCTGATCCCCAGCTGCCTCTAAATAATGAAGGTGGTACCTGGATTTTTTTCACACATGCAACCTGAGATCAGGGGAGTAAAATGAGCTAAGAGGGCAAACTTATGAGTGTTGGTGCACGCTACACAGCACATGCGTTTTGACTCAAGTGCACTTTTTTGTCATGCAGAGATGACAAAGGTTAAGTAGTGTGGTCTTAAACGCAGGTATACAAAACCAGACACTTATAGAGGATAATAGTGTTGTCGATCTGTTGTGTGCTCTGCTGTGGAGGCTCAGTAAGAAAAGATGGTCTTTTTGAGCGGCTAGCATTAATCGTGCTACCTAGTCTGTGGTGGAAAACTCAGCCAGGTGTTATGTTCTTCCTAGAGTTTCTAATGCATGCTTTTGAATGACTAAATGCATTTACTTAGTTATAATTCTGGGATTTGGTTAATAGAAATTATTTTGGAAGTCTTACTGACCAAAAACAGGAACATTATTGTAACGTAATTCTAAATGGATCTAATTTGGTTTACTTAAAAAAAAAACTGAATTGAGTCCTAAAGATAAATAAAATCTGGAATATTTTTTTTCTCACCCTGATGGTCAACATGATATGAGTGTGGCTCTTTAGGACTTCAACTGCATCGCTATGGGTGATGTCCTCAAAGCTCACCCCGTTTGCAGCAAGGATTTGATCACCCATTTTGATGCCGTGCTGTTCTGCAAGTCCACCTGGGTCCAACCTGCAGGAAGAATATATACATATAGAAGTGAAGAAAATGAATGTACACTTACATCAAGGTTAAATTTGATAATTCCCCTTATAAAAGCTATCTAACAAAAAATACAATAGCTGTGGTTCATAACTGGGTCATGCTTAGTTTTATCTACTACAAAAACTTAAAAAAGAATCCAGCGTGTTAGAACATTTAGTTTAACCCTCTTTCTTCAAGTTTATACAAACTGTGTTAACTGATCAAATTAGTACTGCGTGGATTGAACTGCCATCAGCCTCTTTATTTACTTTTGCTTTTATGTTCGTACTTTGAGACATAAATGCCCAGTCCAAACTCTTTGCCACCTCTGATGTTAAAGCCCAGACAGTAGTCATCTGATGTGGTGAAGAGATGTATGATGCGACGGAGAGCGCTGTCTGAGCTGGCCTCTGAAGGCGTACGACCGTTCTCCTCCACCACCATCCGCCGGTGAATTAGATCCACCCTACACACATATGCAAAACACATATTCTACTTTTCCCTTATTGCACTGAACTCAAATACATCAGTATCAGTTGATCAAAAAGCCATAAAGGTCACAGCAGTAATCCATCCACTGCTGCCACATGAAACCAAGATACAGTATATCCCAAAAGAGAGATAACCAGTGTAAGCTCAAGGAAAGTGATAAACCTCACATAAAAGACCCACACAAAGCTCAAATGTGCAAGTACTAAGAAATCATTTCCTTACAGAAATGTGAGGTGGCTTACAATTCTTTTCATAAACCTCAATCTTTTTTACATTTTGTTACATTATAAACAATAACTTAATTGTATTTCATTTAGATTTCAGGTGTTATACCAGCAGAAGTTAAAACCTTATTATGTTTTTGTTGTATTTTGCTGTATCTAATAGTCTTTCCCCAAAGCTTGGCCTTTACTGTATTATTTTTAACTAACTGTGTGCATTTTCCCTGTGTATGAATACTTTGCATGGTACAGTATATCTAGCTAAGAATGTATCTAGATACCGTAAGCAATTTGCTACATTCATTACAGTATTTACAGCAAATTAAAGCAGCCAATGACATAGCCTTGGATGGTGCCCTGTAACTCAGTGGTCTAACCATGTGGTCTTTTCCTTGGAGTAGCGGATGCCTGGGATCTTCCCTACTCGCCTCACCACCATCCTCAGCCTGTTGTTGCCTGTGAGGACCTTTACAGCGCTGCTCATGGTGATGCTCTCCAGGCTGACCCCATTCACCTCCACCAGCTTATCCCCCACAGTGAGCCCAGCCTGTTCTGCAGACATGGATAGAACTCAGCATGACAAACAAGAGCAAAATGTCACATGTAAACAAAACACCTCTACTTGATGTAAATACAGGAAAAACAAATACCATGCAGAGGGAATCCATACCTGCGGAGCTGTCATCCTCCACCTTACTGACAAATATGCCTAGTCCATGTTCAGAGCCCCCACGGACACTGAAGCCAAGACGCCCATCTGGGCTCTTATTGACTGTCACTGTGTGAATGTCCTCACAGTCGTCTCCTCCTACAGAAATGAAGCCATCATGAATCTGACGTACGTATTTGGTGAGTATGACTGCTATGACTGCTAACTATAAGTTAAACCCTTGGCACCCATTGGTGCAAATATGCAACAAACCCTTTGTGTTACATACACAGCTAAGATATCAGTTTATACCCATTCACTGTGGACCTAGGAACCTTTAGCGGGGTCTTGTTTCCATTACAACTGGTTCCTAATGGTGTATGTTATCATTGTATGTTAGAAATGTTGTCACAAAGTTGTAATATACCTACATTTCTATTTATTTTTTAAATAATTAGATGGTTTAGAACTTTCTATTAGGCAACTACTTAAAGGTATTTTTTTATATATGTGTAACAAGAGATCTTGCTATGATAGGATAGTATAGTCCATCTTTAAGCTGTCCATAAAACAAGGTTCATAACTACATAAGAAAATGTATTAAAATTAAACACAGTTTTCCTGAATTTTAGTACATAGTCAAATGTTAAGTTTTAATTAAGTTGTTGATTTAAGTTGACTAACACACAGCCAATGGGGAATCTGTTACATTTCTTCTTTAGTCTAAATAAGATATAACAAGGTTTATTTGTTAAGTTTAAGAAAACGTGCACTTTCTATCTAATAAAAATAAGAAAATCATCTGGTGAAACTGGAAGCACTAACAAGTAGGCTAATTGACTTACCTAATTCACAAAGGAGGCAACAATATTCCATTACTGAAGCAAATGTATCTTTAAATTGGCTTAAATCCTGTATGTCACTGCTTGCATTTTTACTTGATTTCTATTCAATTTATGCAATCCTTTGTGGGGTTTTTTTTTATCCTTTCCTAAACAAAAGTTTGGTTTTCTTGAAGTTATGAGCTCAGATTCTAATATTTTTGTTTAATTTTGAATCGTATATTTTTTTTTGTTCCTAAGCTGTAACAAATGAAAAGGGGTTGTGCTTTCTTAGAAAGAGATAAAATTCCCAACTGCAGAATCTAATGAAAGAACTGAAATTGTATCCCATAATTGTCCAAAAGCATTTGTCCATAACCTCTACCTGATTTCTTTTACATTCAAAACAGTGTATGAAAATATTTAATTTTGGTTTTTGAGGATAATGACAAACATTTTTCGTTTAGTATTGAGTTACTTTGACTTAAGCAAAACTAGTTTCCCCCTTAGGCTAATCCATCAGTTTTATAGCACCCCAAATGATGTAATAGTTATGAGTTAGCAGGTTTAGAGCTCACCATCTACAGGTGCGTTTATGAGAATGACCCTGCCCATGGGAGAGGAGGACCTGTGTCTGTGGCGCTGCTGTTTTCTCAGCTTGTAGCGTGTGGTGCTTCGGGAACCCCCACCCTGACCTCCATTGCTGAGGTGGGGGTGCCCGCCTCCATTCGTCATCTGGCCCCAGGCAGGAGGGTCAAATGAGCCAGCCATCGGATAGGTCTGAAGAAACTTTCCTTAGTCATCCAGGCACTGGAATATCTGGTTTCCCCTGTCAGGAGGGAGGAGGAGGTGCAGTCTCAGAGTTGGGAGAAAGGTTGATGGGGGGGCAGCAGTGATAAAAAACTGGAGTGGTTTCCACCAGCTGGTCCACTTTGGTTCAGTTCTGAGGGTGACTGCTCCTGAAGTTGGCAACTTCTGTCAGATTCCAAGTGCGAATTAGAAAAGCAGAGAGCAAAGTAATGCTCAACAACCACTACCTACACAATGTGTAATCATACTTCATATAAATTACAGAAGATGGTAAAAACTAGTCATTCAATATAAACGGTACAACCAAAAAGAGATCCAAATGTTTGCAGGGAAAGAAAATAGTCCACAGGCTTTCTCTGACACCATCTTACTTCTGCTCCTAGAGCCTGACAGAGAAGCTGGATCTTTTGGCAGAGAACCTAGAAATGCACAGTGATTCCTTTAAGGTCAGGTTTGATTAAATTGATGTGTCTACCTAAGAAAATGAAAAAAAACAAAAAAAAACACTCTCAAAAGTTGGCATTTCCTTATAAAGTGTTTACAAATTAAATATCATTTTATAGGGTAAAACTAACTTGCAATCAAGCGTCATGTTTAATAAACTGCTGTTACAGTAATTATTCAGCACCATGGACAGTGACTCAGGGTGGTGCAAAAACAAAACAAAAATAAAACAACAAAAAAACTCATCTAAAGCCATCTGCAGTTCGCAAGTACATTCACATCGCTATATCAACTTCTGCCACGGGAAGTCATAGTGTTAAACTTCAGTTTCATTCTAAAGTTATTCCTACCAGCGCGTGAAAAAAAACAATATCATGATCAAAACGAAGACAACAGAGCATGACAGCTTTACCTGCTGTGTCCGTGTTTTGCAGCAGGAGCTCGGACAGGCGCTCAGTGGTCCGCCTCACTGACGCATTAGCGGACACCTCCGGAGAATTAGTGCCACCACATTTGTTCTGCAGGTGACCATTATTGTCTTAAGAGCTGTAAGCCCTTTACATAAGCCTCTGTAGATGTATAGTGATTAAAACGTAGCCCAATTAAATTCCTCATAAGTTAGAACTCACTTTTATGAACATCTAATTTGGTTCCAAGCAAACCATGTTATCAAAGCCTTTTTTTTTACTTTACTTTAGGGCTAAAGAAAGTGATGTGCTGCATATTGTAGAGGTCAGGAAGATAGATGAACAACGCCACCTAGCGATGAATGGTGGGATTTCAGTAATTATTTTTAAAGCTTCTCCTAAGTTTAATTTAAAACTAAATAGATTATCTGTATTAAATTTATTAATTTGCCCCTAGTTTTATTTCATGTGTATATGATTAGTAAAAGTCTTAAATTAAGGAATTTTCAGATTTAGTTCAGTTTTATTAGCATTATTTATTTGCAGTGAAGTTGAAATATATGCGTGGTATTCTTTTCATGAAAAACAAAAATCTGAAAACTTTATTTAAAGCAAGCACTAATTTTTAGACCTGTTTACAAATGCAGTATAAAATTCAGCCTGGGAGTCGTCCAATCAGATGCTAGCTTTCTCACACGCCCTCACGTCAGTAACCCCGCCCCAGTGTGTCACACGCGAGATACACTGGTGCTGCCTTCAAGGCACCTCGAAAAATTATAAGGTGAAACAAAACAGTTCTTTTAATATTTTATTTTATTTTTTTTTTACAATTACACATTCATTTAAAATGCATATAGTTATTATTATTAATCAAATACATCACCTGATTCCAATGAATGTAAATTTAAATTATATATCAACATATTTGAAAACAAGGGGCTTCGGGCACAATATATTTGTTTTTAATATTAATGTGGCGTTGTTGTTGTAAAATGATTCATTAGCACCTCAATAGGATTTGTTTGATTAGACAATGATAGAATGTTTTAATTCTCGAGAAAGCATTTAGGTCTTATTCAGGTGCGATATGAGTTTTACGACACTGTGAAGACACGTTAATGCATCATTGGCTCAGCCGGTGTGTGCTGTGATATTGAGAGGTCATACATTTTCAAAAGTCGAACTTATTGGACCAGGTATGTTCTGGGTCTGACCACATTTGTTTCCCTGTATTATCCATATCACAAACTGATTAGGTTCACATATTTTCCTTCATAAAATGTGTCCTCCTAACGCTACGTGCTAGCATTACGGTTTTAGCTTGTAAACCCAGCAGGTAGCTGGCTAATATTAGGACATTTGATTATTGTAATGATATCAGTCACATCTGCTAACGTTATCATATAAACGCCTGAAAAAAGTATGGATTCATATTGATTATATCGTCTCGAGACGCTTTGTTTACTTTAGTGTGTTGGTTTCGGTTTAGCTACCATGCTAGCAGGCTACATTGCTAACGCCTCATGCTCCTCTGTCAGCGATTTAGGCTTCGATCAGTTCCTTTCCTGGTTTATCGGTTAATTTAAACCTTTTTCCCTTTATATATATGTGTGTTTTACAGTAATTAACGGAAACAAGAAATTGTCCAGTTTATATTTTAATTTCTGTACCTATAGAACTTCCTCGCAAAGGAAAATAAATATCAATATTATTACTGGCAGTTTTTATTGGACATATATTTGCATCTCTAACTCAATATAAAAGCAGGTCATTTTGTAATGCCTTACTACCTCCTGTGTAATACAAACCAGTGTCATAACAACAAGGCTGCCAACTTTTCACCAAACCTTGGGGGGAGATCTTGAAATAGTTTGGACAGGAAACCCTGTCAGGGTTAGATGAGGATAGCTGCAGCTATAGGTGGGAGGTTTTCAGAGGATTTAACTGAAAAAAAAGTAGCAAAATGTGGAATTTTTATATCACAATTAATGTTACTGAGTAACAATAAGTGGTTAGTAGTTATGTGGAACATTTTTCCTAACAATATAAATTATTTTCAACATTCTGGTGATTTTTAAAGGATTGAAGTAAAGCAGAATGGGCCATACTAAAATACTTGCATCTTAAATATGCTTTAAACTAAGAATTTCACAACTTTGTTCATTAATTATTCTCTGCTGTTTAAATAAATGAAACAATGGGGAACTTATAAGCTATTACTGCATTACTGGCACTGATACAGAAATTAGTGCAATCGAAAACCCATGCAAACTACACTATGAATATTTGGTAATAGGCTAAGGATTAAAAATCTTAAATTATTATCTTATTAGTTTTTTTTTTTTTTACAATTTTTTTTTTTTTTTTTTTTTTTTTTTTTTACAATTGACAAAACAGCTAAACAATTCAAACCTTCTATGCGGCTGTAGACTCAATAAAAACTCACCATGACAGGAGAAAGCACTTCTCTCGAGTGTGGTGGAAATTAAGTTTTTAAACATATTCAGTGGACCAAAATAAAGATAAATAAATATGATAAGTAATAATAAAAGAAGAACATCCCTGTGGTTTCTCCTCTATGAATCCAGGATAACTGAGCTGTTCTGCACATCCCCTCTGGATGTGGTTGGTCTTTTCTTGGGTGGCTGATCTTTTAAAAAATATTATGCAATGGTTATTTTTCTTTTTTTGGAGCTCCTGTGGGTTTGCAAGGCAAACCTGAAAGCTTTAAGAGTTAAAATATTTGTGTTTGTTTAATTACTCCTAAATTCCATTATTAAACTAGACAGTTGAGTTTTAATGTCTGCCAATTTTTAGTGTGAGATATTGGCGATATGGAGTGAGAGTGTGTGAAGACACTGAGATGAGTGAGTCTCACTCCCAGTGGGTGAGAGTTGACAGCCCTGTAATAGTAAATTGTCTTTTTTTTAGAAAGCCATAAACCTTCAATAAGAAGTCAATTAATCTCTATCAAGTGTATAAATTTGACCAATTCTTAATAATGGAAAAGACTCTGTTACCACTAAACCACTTAAGTAGGCATCTGTTTATTGATCCTCTTAAATGACCTGGGAATGACAGCAAGATTTTTGCAATTTCTTCAGTTAGATCTGTATTAATTAGTTTTAGAAAATAAGAAAGCTTGCATAAGTAGTACTCAGAACTATTGAAGCATGTCCTTATTGTTAAACCAGATTTTGAGTTAAGATTTAAAAATCAGTTATTCTAGTTTCAGTATAGCAGATCTAAATACTAGTAAATAACACATCCATTAACCTCTTCATATACTTTTACTTATAAAGTGGATTTTTTTAATCAACACCCAAAAACTAAAGCCCCTTTAAAGCAGTAAAAAAATATATATGTTTTAGCATTTTCAAGTATTTAAAACCCCTAATTAAAAAGGCTAAAATCTGCCGAAATGTTGTTGACTGTTGTGTACTGCCGGGTTTTTATTTCTTTTACTTCAGTGTAAAACAAATAAAATATCTCTATATAGATCATATAGAGCTACAATCTCTTGATCTCTTTTTCTGTAATTTGTGTCAAAAAAATGTTTTACTTATATTCTGCTGGCATGTAGAAAAAATATACTATAATCTGAAACGCATAGTTCACAATACAGAAATCAAAAAAAAATTTTTTGTCTAAATCTATCAATAATCAGCACATCTGCCTTTGATTAGGGGAGAGCCAAGATGTCTGGAGAGTTGTCGCTCAACATTAACATTAAGGAACCTAGATGGGACCAGGGAACCTTCATGGGCCGTGCAAAACACTTCTTCATGGTCACAGATCCCAGGAACGTCCTGCTGTCCTCTGAGACTCTGGAGGAGGCCAGAGTAATCGTAGAGAACTACAGGTGAGGTGATGGAGGACTGAGTCAGAATTAGCCAATTAAATGACCCATTCATTGAATCTAGCTTCCATCTGATCCTCCTGCTACGATGCACGTCTCTGCACTAATGGATAACTGTGCTAGAAAAATTTATAGCAAAACTTAAACACCTTTCTGTCTTCACCCTTTTGAGATGACTGTTTAACAAAGTATGAAACCTTCCCGTTATTCTGCATTTTCAGAACCGGCACCGTAAAACCGGGTTTGACCGAGGATGAGCTCTGGAGAGCTAAGTACATTTACGACTCTGCTTTCCATCCCGACACTGGAGAGAAGATGTTTGTGATTGGTCGGATGTCTGCTCAGGTGCCCATGAACATGTCCATCACAGGCTGCATGCTCACGTTTTACAGGTACAGCAGAGGTTCTGATGCAGTAATCACTCATATAAAAAAATATGTACATTAAAAAAACAGGTAGATAAGACAGCAGATACAGCAGCACCCGAAATAGAAGGTTTAATCCGTTTCCAATGGAAATCCTCTTAAAAATCCAAAATGATTACCCTTTCTGATTACTGAAAAACCTGCTGGGCTGACAAGCTTTTACTGATAAAATAATAACGAATCAACAAAAATTGTAATAAAATTACAAAATAATTTTCTCTCACTCAAAACTGCTTCAAAAACATTACACCCCAAATAAACCATGGGTAAACTCCATTTATTGTGTTTTGATTGTTTTGTTTAGATGCTTAAATGTTATTGTTTTTGTCTAGCACTATCTGTTGGGTCAGGATTAAATGGAGATTTTACGGTTGCATAGACCAGTGTTTCCCAACCTTTTTTGACTTGTGTAACCCTTTGGGCCTTTTTTCATACCATAAATACCCCTATCAGTCAAAAGTGTTTAAGATTATCCTAAGGTGGAACCTACATGAACTGATTATAAAATAAAAACTATTGTAAATAATATCTTAATTTGAGCATTTTAATTCTCAGGCATTTTATGCAAAAAACAGCATTAGTATGTTGCCTGGAAGTTAGTAAGGAATTGACTTGAATACAAAATAAAATCATAATATAAACCTGTATTTATAAAACTGGAGCTCCACTGAGTAAATTGCTTATAAATACATTTAAACTTGATGAATCGACTTAAAGGAGAAGTTCACTTTTTAACACTTTAAGCCCGTTTTCTGTAGTGTCCAGGATGAAATCGAATGATCGACACCAAAATTTTGACAATTGGTCCTGTCTCTGCTATTTGGCTCATGCAGAATCACCCCCTGGCTCGACGTCGGAGTACACAGAGTGAAGCGAAAAGACTACAACTGTGTAAACAGGCCCCATTTCCGTTTCCGGTGGCAGCGGAATATTGACTATTCCAACAGAACTCAATGGGATTTACAAAATGCTAAATAAAACACTACAGGAACGTTTTTTCTTTACGAAACTTTTTTTGGAACGTCATTGAACAGCGCTGACGACCCGGTGAGTAGCATATTTTAAAAAAAGAACGTTTAAGGTTGTTTTAAGGACATTATCGGACATGCTCTATGGAAGCCATTCTGAAGCAGCCAGGGGGTGATTCTAAATGAGCCAAAAAGCAGAGACAGGACCAATTGTCAAAATTTTGGTGTCGATCATTCGATTTCATCCTGGACACTACAGAAAATGGGCTTTAAGTGTTAAAAAGTGAACTTCTCCTTTAATTGACTTAATTAATTTTGTTTTTGTTTTCACCAAGACACCTGAGCTGCTTTGATGAGCTGCAATAGCTCAGTGTGAAAAACAGCTGATCCCAGGCTGTTCTCTATATACAGTCTGTTCCTCTGCTTAGTTCTGATGCATGTCAAAACTGAAGGCACTCAAACATAGAAGCGAAACTAACTTTTTGGTTGAGAAAAGCTTGTTTTATTTTTGAATTGGGTCCTCAGAAAGCAGAACAGATCCCATCCCTATTTTATTTTACTACCTAAGAAATTACATATTTTCATGTACCCCTTGCAATGCACTTGTGTACCCCTGCTTGGGAAACATTGGCATAGATGACCTGCCATTGTGTTGTTTGTGATTCACCACTAGAGGACAGCAGTTTTTACATTTAACTTGTTAAACATGTGGTTTGGAAGTGTTCAAACTCATAATTTTTCAAGTACCTTCTGGGTAGTTTAGTCTTGTCAGTTCAAGTAGAGACATCTCAGTAATGGTATTTGGATTTGCAGCTTATCAGTATGTTTATCTTTTATTTTTATTTTTTGATTAAGTAGTAAGAGAGGTGATATAACTTTATCATTCTTTATTGAGAATCCAACACAGTGAACGATTGTCTAAAATATCAAAGCCAGGGGTAGCACTTAAAAAAAAAAAAAAAAGGTTTCTATTTATCCAAACTTTCTTTGGTTCTAGGTAATAATGATCTATTCTGTCTTAGGTTTACTTGAGGCAAAAACTAAACTTTGTAACTTTGAAGTTTTGTTGTTATTGTTTCTTTTTTTGTTCCCAGAACTCAGATGTTTACACTAAGTATCAACATCTAGATCCATCTGCATAGATGCTCCACTGGGCTAACTTTCTAAATAAATGAGTGCGCTAGCTGGAAACATTGAATTAGTTTCTGTTGACACAACAATCCACGGCACTTCCCACACACATAATCAGAGCTGCTTACATAACTGTTTTGGTGCTTAATTTAACAACATCTGAGGTTGTAAAATCCATCCTAAAGACCTTTGTTCTGATTTAATCACACTCTATAGTTTGTATGCAGTCTCTGTGTTTCATTTACATAAGAGGATATAGCGCTATTTAATTTCTGGGTGTAGCTAAAATGGGATGACAGCAGGGTAGACCTCAGAGTAACATTAAAAGCTAAACTGGACCATCATGTGCATACTGCCATGAAAGTGGTGTTATCTTGAAAGTTATGATGGCTCTTTAATATTAACCTCAGGTACATGTTGGGAGGTTTAACTCCTTCTACCTCATTAAACTAAACAATACTGCTTACAGTGAAAATACTGTTTTTTGCTAACTTAACTGAATTCTTTGATGTGTGCATCATGTGTTACATGAAATGTGACGTGATGTAAGATCTGATTATGTGAAAGTTGAGTCTGCTGTGATTCAGACTGGAGGCGGCAGCAATTTTTTCTAAAGGGGAAATCTGTTTATGTTTTGAGAAAATAATCATAATTTTGAGTGAAAATGATAAATTCTTAAATTTGTGAGGTATAAACCCACAAAAACAGCTAATAATAGGATATTTTTTTTCTTTTCCATTGATTTTGTCTTATGTAAGTTGTTTGTATTTTCTAATTTCATTCGTTTATATGCAATTTTGTTTAAAAATGAATGTTTTTATGTGTAGTATGAGGTCAGCTGATTGTAGGTTGTAATGCTACCCTGTGCTCATGTTACAGGTTGCGGCTTTCATGTTTTTGCTTCTAGAAGAAAAAATGGGTGAACCCTCACTTCCTCTAACAGGCTACTGTGGTTCTGTGTTTTCAGGACTACTCCAGCAGTTGTGTTCTGGCAGTGGGTTAACCAGTCCTTCAACGCCGTTGTAAACTACACCAACCGCAGCGGAGACGCTCCCATCACCGTGAAGTAGGGAGTCATTCATGTCCTCCACTCTAAACTATTGTCTGTAAGGAGGTTGTGGGAGCTGCTGCTTTCTGCCTTTCAGTGCTATTTTGTTCTGTTTAGCTTCATGTCACCACGACCTCATGCTGCACACATCTACTACCGACTGCCTTTAGAATAACATGCATTTGAATGATGACTTTATTGTGCTCATTCATTGGCTGCAGCAATGCATCAAACATGATCTAGTTATGCTGAGGAGAGCTGCGCCTTCCAAACATGCAAGAGCACATTGTTTGGTTAAGCATGAAACCAAGCTGAAATATTAGCATTATTTGCTTTAACAGCTCATATTAGATGCATTTTGTTTCACCTTACTTTGCCTAACCTTGCAGCTAAGGTTCACACCATCAGCTGTGGTTTTCACTCAGTATTCAGCTAATTATCATTTGTGATATGTATGAAACAGGAAGTTGGCAGTAGGTGTCTGTTTTGTGTCAACCTCACCATCTTCTTCACAGCCAGCTTGGTGCCGCTTATGTTAGCGCAACCACAGGGGCCGTGGTCACTGCACTCGGACTCAAGTCTCTGGCTACGGTAATATGTCAGGTTCACAAGAATACTCCGTTGAAGTAAGTCCAGCAGAATGTGATAACTTCCTGATTTATTGTCCTTGCAGCGACTCCCCCCAATCGTCAGTCGGTTTGTCCCTTTTGCTGCTGTTGCTGCTGCCAACTGTATCAATATCCCCTTCATGAGGCAGAGGTGAGGTCCCGCGAGGATTGACCACTTCCCACTTTACTTAGCTGTAAAGACTGGTCACATTTGACACAGCCATGTTTCTGTTTGCCTCTGCCAGGGAGCTGAAGTATGGGATCCCTGTGATGGATGAGAACGGAAACAGGTTAGGAGAATCTGCCAATGCTGCCAAACAAGCCATTGTCCAGGTGGTGGTGTCCAGGATTGGCATGGCAGTGCCTGCTATGGGTAATTTAATCTAATATTCCACTCAATGTTCCATTCATAGTTTGCAGGGAGCTTTTTAGCAGCATAGCATGAGTTTCTATTCTCCCTCTATCCACCTGATACCCATAAAATAAAATCCAATGTGCTCAACTGCTTTAGAAATCAGCTTGATTAGTACATAAAGTCCTTCTAGGTGTAATGAAATACACACATAGGTAGAGCTGTTCACACTCCAGAGGTTTGTTTGAGGATGTTGGTGATCAAATCAAAGAACTCACAAGATCACATTATGTAGAAGATGCCCTACATTTTGTTGGCCTGTTTCTTGCTTTCATTTTGTAAATTGTATAAAATACTCTAGAGGTATGAATACTTTTAAAGATTAATATTTTGCTTTTGGGCAGACTAGAAGTGGTGTTGTTAAAGAAAGGATCTTTTTTCAGATGGGCGTCTCCTGATATCTATCTCTCATCTTTGGCTGCAGTCTAAATAATTTCTGCCACAGATTCCCTGGAATGTCAACATGCTTGTTTTGCCATTCTGTCCTTTATCTAGATAAAGTTGGCCTGATTCTTTGTACAGATTGTTATTCATAATTTGATCAGATAAATATCTAACTGTATTAATGTTACAGGAGATGCAAGAATTTTAGCCCCTGAAGTGGGTTGTTTGATTTTTACTGTAGGTGCTTATAAATCTGAAGACTTTCCTCAACTCATTTTTATTTCTTTTTTTTACAGCCATTCCTCCTGTTATAATGAATGCTCTGGAGAAAAGAGCCTTTATGAAGGTAGGAACATGCGCTCCAATGTTTTTTCAGTGACACAAATGAGTTTTGCACAGTGATTTAGTTTGGTTTAATGCATTAAACCTTATTGGATCAACAACCCCACTTTATGACAACCTTTTTTACTATATTCAGTTTCAAATGGATATTATTTGCTGGATGTAATCCCCTGGAGAGAAGCGTTTTTCCTTTCAGTTTTTGGGGCGTTAAGCTGGAGTATCTGACTGCAGCTGAGAAGTAAAAAGATATTAGAATCCTTGCATCAGTCCTTTTAGGACAATCTGAAAATGATATGTTAGTGGGGCCTTATTTCATATAATCCATGCTAGGGACCGCTTGGTTCCCAAGAGAGTTTGTTAACATGCAAATATTTTCTGATGCACAAACCTTGAACCTAAAGTGGACTTAAAAAAGACGATGTAGGTCCAATTTGCTGAAGGGCTTTGTATATCCCACCATGCTTAGGCACTGGTAATAGTAATACATATTTTCACCTATTGATTACATTAAATGTTGGACTTTGGGTCTGGAAGCGCCCTTTATCTTATTTTTATGGGTCAGTTCTGCACCAACATGTGGCCGGAGCCATGAAGTGATGATCAGCTACAAGGTCTGAAAAAGAATAGGTCCTCATCCAGCTGGGATTGGCGCTAAAGGTTCATATCTACAGGAATGTTTAAAACTCTTAAGCCGTGATTTAACTATTTTAATCTAGACTATTTTCATATATGTGACGGATTTGCTAAAAAAAAATGCTGTAAAACCTGCATTTCTTAAGCAGATCTTCTGTAGGTGGTATAAACCTGTAGACAAGAACCTGAAAATGTTAAAAATACAAATAATATAACTTTTGTCAGGGAGAATTTGTTTTTTAGTGCAAAGAAACAATACATTTTCTATAAATCTGCTTAGTTTTAGTTATCTTTTGTTTTAATTGTTTTTTGTTTTTCTTGTAGCGTTTTCCAATTCTAAATGCTCCTGTCCAAGTTGGTCTAGTCGGTCTATGGTGAGTAAAATAGTATTTTCTCTCCCAGTCTGCATTAAAATCATGTCTAAAATGTAATTTCTCCACCCTCTTTTTAAGCCTGGTGTTCGCTACTCCTCTCTGCTGCGCCCTGTTCCCTCAGAAAAGGTACATTCAGTCAATTCCTACAGCATCTGGAGCTTTAAGCTTTATGTAATGCGGGCCGACTTTATCGTAATGGTTAACCATATCTTTTCAGCTCTATGAGCGTAAGCGGGCTGGAAACAGATCTGCAGGAGAGGATACGGCAGTTAAGTCCAGACACCAACAATGTCTACTTCAACAAGGGCCTGTAGGCGCATGCGCAGAAAACATGCAAACATACAGAGATCTGTCTGTCACCAAAAGGAACAAGTTTGAGTGTTTAAAAAAAAAAAAAAAAGATTATTTGTGGTTTTACATTAATCTTGGTTTTGTTACATGTTCAGTTGTTGTGTTTTTATGTAGTCTTCCTCTGATTGATAACACAAGCAACTTCTGATCACTCATTGGTGGTTTTCTCATGTGCATTTTAAGTCTTGTACAGTTTTAAATGAAGGCTTTTCATATTAGTCGTCTCTATTTACTCCTGAGTGTAAGGTTGCCTTGTGTGTCTGATCTTTAAAACTTTGTTTTAACCTGGGTTTGCCACCTACAGCATCTTGACTCTTACTCTACAAATAGCTGTACTTTGGTTTAAATCTAAATGTTATACAAAGGACAATTTAGCCCTTTCTCTGTATTATCTTGCAGAAAATATAACAAATTAGGTGTAATCCTTATCCTTTTTTCCCCATAAATTAGCAACTTTCTTCTAAAAGCTAAAATAGAAATACGATTTTTATTCTTTACACTAAAAGAAGCATATTTTATATAGTGGGTATTTATAAAATGTAATAAGTTCACATCAGTTTTACAGCTCAGGTAAGAATTTAATTAGTTGGAGGAAAGTAAGAAATGGTCGATTCCTACATTCCTACATTCCTAGTGTAGACATGCCAACTGCAGAGGGGGGAAATATTTGCTTCTTTTCTCTGATTAGAGAATCATGGTTTTTATTTTCACTAAAAACAGTGTCCTAATCGTATTTCCTGTTTTGTTTCACACTGCCTCTCAACCAGAGCAGCTCTCCTTAAAGTGTACTTAACGCCTTTAGGTACATGTAGTTCAGAATATATTTAGAGGTACATGTAGTTCAGAATATATTTAGAGGTACATGTAGTTCAGAATATATTTAGAGGACATGCTTAGTGTCTATAATGTCACTCAGAAGAAGCCACACAACAACCATTTCCTATCTGTTTACATTATTTTCAGTGGTTTTGCTGTTATCTACACATTATTTCAAAAGTAAGCAGAAAAAAGATCTGCTCTTATTTCAGATAATAGCATATAGACACCAGAATTTCTTCTTTTTTGTAAGATACAGTAGTTTTGTCATGTCCATGCGAGTGTTAGCTATCTAGAAGACTTTGATAAGCCATTGAGATTCTGTTTAGCAAAATAAACCACTAAAGGTTTTAAAATGTCTAAAAGTAATGTTGCTGCTTTGATCAGTTATTAAATGAGATCACCAAACATCATAAAGCAATTATGTTTGAGGGTATATGACAGTGATTGTTGTGAATAAACTCCAACTGATGTAGATTTTCTGAATACCTATATATGATGTATAAAGTGTTAAGCACAGATATATATATGCACTGGAGGGTAATTTTAGCTGCTTGTTAAGAGATTTGCTACATATGATTTAGCTAAATGACCTTCTGTCTGAATTTATCTTCTGACAAAACTCACTATTTGCAATTTACCAACAATCATCTAACACTTGTGCTGTGTGATGTTTTGTATCTCTGGTAGGATTATGAATATATTTACCGTACATGAATGACTGTAAAGGCTTTGTAATTGTGTAAATGTAAACTGCTCGAAATGGAGTAACTGCCCTATCGTTTTGTGTTCTTACTCAGACTTACAGATCATTTTTGATAAATTAGAATATCATTGAAATTTGTATTTATTTTAGACCTACAAAAATATCCCTTTCGCATGAATTACAACAATACATTTGGAGCCTTAATGCGCTGCTGATTGATTTAAGGAATCAAAATGTTTCCGTATTTTGGGATGTGTGAAAAGCAAACTCAGTCTGCCCATTAAGACAAAGTGCTCTAAACATGGCCCCTGAAATTATAGGGAACTTTAGAGTGAGGAACAATCAGTTTGGGTTTTTTGCATCTCTTACTCAGAGGAGCTCCAGTTTTATGAATTCAGGTTTATAATATGATTTTATTTTGTATTTATTTTAATTCCTTACTAACTTCCAGGCAACATATTTATGTTTTTTTTTTTTTTTTTGAGACCGAAAGAATAAAAGGCCTAAGAATTAAATGCTCAAATTAAAGGATTGAGTAAAATAGTTTTTATTTAATTATCAGTTTTATTGTATGTTCCACTTTTGGACAATCATCAATATTTTTAACTGGGAGGGGTACTTATGGTAAGAGAAATACGCAAAGGGGTACACGAATCAAAAAAGTTTGGGAAACACCGATCTAGACTGGGACTTTGGTTTCTAAGTTATTACTTATTTTCCTTTATTCCAGAAGAACCAAAAAAAAAAAAAAACTTAAAATGTCACTGCTAATTGGTATAGTCTATGAATTTAAGTTTTACAGGTAAATTACTAAAGTACATTTTAAATGGTGTTCTAATGCATAGAGATGTACCAGTATATAGCTTATGTTCTTGGACTTTATTTTTAGATTATTTGAACATAACCTTCAATAATCTCCAGAATGTATTGATTTTTTGATAAAAGTTTTAGTTTAGAGGCCATTGTGTAAAATGTAAGACATTTTTTATTAATGTTTGTTCCCTTTAAATGTTTGAATCAAAAACAGAGCGGCAGTGGTTTGTGATAAATGCTTGTTTCTGTGTAACCATGTGAGGTTTTCCTATTGAAGGTGATGCTGCACTGTTATAACCTTTGCTGTGTTGCTTATTGGACCTGACTGGATTTCTATTGAATGTTCTCTTTATGTTATATATTTATGAACGATGATTGTGAGCCGGCTAAGAGGTAATCTTTCCAGTCTGCAAACCCTTACTGCTGATAACTAAAGATGACTTTCTCCGATTTTAAGTTTTTTAGAACTAGAATAGTTTATTTCAGCATTTCTTTGTGACGTCTTGCCTCCAAAGACAAGTTGGCTAAGAAGTGCTTAGAGTATGAAGTTGTTTGTATCAGCTTTATTATGCAAATATCTTTGTAAAGTGCTCCTCAGCTTGAACAGTGCAGCCCTCTACACCGACTTGTATAAGAGAATCCCAAAGCACCGACAGGAAGCTACTGGACTTGATGTTTATAAATGTCATATTTTAGTTTTTATTTTAACACTCCAAAAACACTGTCACCAACTTTCACTCCTGTTTTGCATGCTTTAACTGCTTAAAGCACAAATGTAAGGACAATCCATGTTAATATTACACTCCATGAATGTTATGGTGAGTTTTCTGTATATTCATGTAGACCTGTCAGTATTGATGCACAGTATTCCCTCCATTTTTGTATTGTTCAAAATGTTTCCTTGATGTCAGATGTGTTTTACCGACAGCAATAAAAAGAAAATGTGTTACAAATGTTGAAACCAGATTGGATTTTTTATGCATGTATTTTGTACAGGTTACCTGCTAAAGAAAATTTGCTGTTCTAGTAACTAATATTTTTATGCATACCTTTGAACATTAAAGTTAATTTCAGTGCCGCTTTTTTTAGGTAACATTAGGAAATGTTTTTATTTCCTTTGTCCAGATGTGAACTTCTGTGCAACAGGCATACTGGTGAGTAATCGCCCGGATTGTTAAAGAAAAACAGCAACTATAAAAATAAAACTGCAGTACAAGGCATTTTCACAGAGGGCTACCTCGGTTTTATCCAAAACAAATAAAATAAATAAGGTCAATGCATACTTTTTTCCTTCCACTTCCCTTGTATGTATTGATCTGTTCCATAAAGCATCAAGAAGTGCATTACATTGTGGATGTAACATAACGAACTGTAAAAACACTTAAACTCACTGTGGTTTTGAATTTCTGGTGTCCCATCCTGAAGTGTCAACATAAATGGTAAATTTGACTCTAAATATCAGAGTAATAGGTTTGTTTTTAATGGGATTGATGAACTTGGTTAGATTATTTGCTGAAAAAAATGTACAAGCTATTTTTTTTTTTTATGCTACAGTTCCCTAAAAGTAAAAATAACTTCAATGGTCTCAATGGAAACAAATATGTCTTTTCCACATTAGGGTTAACTAGGCCAAATTAAACTTTTTGGAAAAGCTAAAAGAAATCTAAACATCTCTCCGTTCCAAAGAACTAGGACTGTCTATATTATATTAAACTTATTTTATTTTTTTTAAAGCCCCAATGTAATGTGCTTTAATAGAATATGCATCAACAGTCCTTAAAAATATATCTAGACTAATATTTTATCGTCTCAGATTTAAAAAGAGTAAATTATGATATTGCTCCAGTAAAAAAAACACAGACACACATCTAGAAATTATTTATTCATATACCGCTAGGAAGCACATGTGCATCTACAAACAGAACATGTCTCTATATTAAAAAAAACACTGGAGCAAGTAGAAAACCTGCTTCAAACACCATGAACACGCCTGCCCATCAGGACAGCAGCTGAACCAGTGTGTAGGTGTGTATTTGGGCATCAAACCTGCTCCTCTCTGCACAGAGTTTAAAGTCAGGTTGTCATTATTTCACACGCACACATACCGGGTGCTGCTGTTCCCAATGGAAAGAAACATTCAGGTGCCTAACAAGGATGGAGACCATAACAAAAGAACAGATACATATGATGGACAGAGGAATTAGAATTACACTCAAATATGACGTCAAGCTCTAAATTGAATAAGCGGTTTGGATCTTTTTCAAGTGTTAAGTATTTACTATTGTTGAACCTGAATCTTAATGTACCTGAAACAAAGTCCCTTAATGAGTTAAGTCTGATAAATAATCAACAACTACAGCATCAATTTGTAATAAACATTCATTCTGCAAATCATTGTGCAAACGACAGAGGTATATTGTATTAATGTCATTAATATTATTTAATATTACTTTATTTAATATTAGTCAATGCAAACATTTATTGACCAAAACTTGAGTTAAAATGATTTGTTCATTGTAGCTTTGATCTAAACCAGTATTCTTGCTCTTTATCTAATGATAAACTATTTCATCGGTACAATTTTCTGGGCTGCCTTCAGGACGTCTGCGGTGTCCACCTTATCGCCAAACTGCTTCTCTTTGTGCTCCAGGAGGATTCCCTGTGGGACACCAGACGTAGTTACGGACAACGACTTCTTTTGTTTTGATGCCACCTGATTTAAATCGGCGCAAATCACACTACCTGATCTCCTGCTCCGATGACAAACACTCCTCCCAGGATGAAGCCCTCTCCGTTCATGTTACCCTGGTAACCGGACCTCCAGGCCCGCATGAAGTTCTGCCACACCCCGAGGCGGACAAAGCCTAACCCTCCCATCTTTCTCTGGAGTGGTCCATAGAAATGTTTCTGGAATCAAATTCAGCTTTAGTCGGACAGATTAAGAAAAGCAGCAAACAACAGATGATCCTTTAAAACAAGTATAGACCTTGATCTAAATCTATGACTTTGAAAACTGATGTTCATTAGCTCCCAATTCAGTCTGATTGATTTTGGGAAATGTTTTGTTAAAACTGAAGTGCTGGATTTAAAATTTGGTATGTATCCGGCTTTTAAAACATTAATTAATTTCGGTACGACGATGGTGGTGGTGGTGTCGGTGCTAACCTTCTCATCTATATAGATGTCCCCAGCGAAGTGCGGTCTGAGGTCCTGGATCTCTGTGCCCACATTCTCTTTCACCACAGCGACCAAAGGGACCCCGAGCTCTTCCAGCTGGGGCTTCAGAGAGGACAGCTCAGAGGCCTCCTGCAGGGACAGCCAAGGGTGAAGTTAAGAGAGGAATAAACATGATAAGCAGTACAACCTCAAGATTAAAACTACCTCTCTGCACAAAAATCATCCAGGCCGCCGTACGGCCATGACCACAGCTCCATTCTCCTCCCACAGGCTCTTTGCTTTAATGACCTTCGAATCTGCAGACAACCGGAAAACTTTTAACGAGAAGTTTTCATGCATAACAAATGAACCATAAATAACTACTTTTTGGAAACCAGGCTTTTTTATATTTGGCAAATCTGACTTCATGATGCATTTACATGATTACATTGAATCTGATAGCCGCCTACCATCTGTTGTGGAACGCAGATCAGCATCTTCCAGGTGTTCCAGTGTTGCGTTTTCACCTTTAGGAAGACACATGTCTGTGTTGGCCAGGAATATCCCAGCCAGAGCAGCTCCGACAGCTCCGATACCCAGGGACCACATCCCCATTTCCAGCAGCTCGCTCTCCAGACCAGACACTGTTGCAAAACAGAAAAAAGGTATGATTATGAGAGAGGGTACTATACTGCTGCTCGCTCTTCTGGGTAAAAACAAAAAAAAAGAAGTTAGACCGCAGGGTTCGGTTTTATGCAGATGTTGGTTTTGAAAAGCCATTCATGCAACAAAGCGGAAAATGTTTCTCTATGATTTATCTTTTTTGAGAAAGAGGAACCTAAATCACCGTGAGGGCCTTATAGTAACAAGAGCCAGCATGCCTGCTTCGTCTGAAATGCAATTCTGTTGCAAGTGTGTTTTTGTGAGTGTGATTGTGATCCTTCCTGTCAGAGAAACCTCATCGTATCCAAATCTAAACCTCACTTATGAGATCAAAAAGCTCGGCCGTACAGACGATTCTGACAGTTGCTTTTAGGAAAGCCGTTAGAGGAAGCCAGCTCCGGCTTCCTTTGTTCTCTTCTACAGAGTTGGAATGAAATCTACATTTTTAAAATGTCAGCTAATAACACAAGGTAATGTTAACTTATTCTTCTCTGGTGTTTCTTTTGGAAATATCTTCTTAAAACGTTTTTAAAAAAATTTTCCCATCACTAACTTTACTAATTACTCTTATCAAAACAAAAAGATAAAATCAGCCCTGATTTCAATAACATGTCTTTCAAATTTCAAAGCAGGAGTTAACTTAAATGTATCTGAATTACAATTGGTTGTTTTTTGTTGTTGTATTGTCACTGACAGCAGCTAATTGTTGCAGCGTTCGAATATGTTCTTGCCTGATGTGATCTTGTTTGGATCTGGACTTGCTCTGGCTTTGCTTTGGTGAAACTGAGAGATCTGGCTTGTTAGAAACTGGGGGCCGGCTGTGATGGAAGAGCTCGCCAGAAGGAGAGCCGAGCAACACGGAGGAAGCCTCCAACTCAAAGCTGGCGAACATCTGGACAGAGCCAGCATGGTGGAGGAAAGTCTGAGCCTCTCACTACACACCTACGCACGATTTCACTGGAAGACACAGACAAGCAGGGTAAACCAAACCAAGTTTACCGTCCCAACTTCAAAGAGAAATTAATATGTACGGTGGGGTGATTCAAAGACCTCATGTTCAAGGTTAAAAAAAAAGCAACAATCTTCAAAGCATAATTGGTTTAGGCTTTTATCTTGATGCTTGTAAAGTGTGAAAATCGTATTTAAATGTTCACTTCCTCTCCTTGCACTCTTCATGCATCAACAAAAAGAAAATGCTCAGAAACAAAACACATGCATGCAATCATATCTTTAAAAAGCCTACAATGATATAAGAGAAAAAAGATTTTAAAATGCAAGAGTTTCACTGACTTATCTCTGTCAAAGGGTGCAAAAAAATCCGCTCTCAACTTGTTCTCCAGCTCAGCCGGTGTGAGACGGTAAATAACTGAAATGCATTGGAGGCACTGCGCTTTATAACTCAATAGAAAGATAAGAGCTTCAACCAATAGAGACGCTAGCAAATCGAGGATGAGCTTCAGACTCATTTGCATAAAAAAAAGTCTTGCATCTAAGGCAATGCCACACGACCTTGAATATAATTAGATATTATAAAACTATTAACACCAATTACCTCCAAAGGTATATGACAACTAAATTATTGTTTTCAACACTGTAATTGCATCATTAACATTTTTATTTTAATATGTGTACATTTTTATATTAAATTATTCACTATACCATACTCAGCATATAAAAAAAAAATAATAAAAAGGTATGATAAACAAATATAAACCTCCTGTTCCTAACCTGATAAAATGTATTAAGGTTCAAACACCAGAAACCAAATGTTTAAAATACTAATCTGATTTATATTAATGGGGACACTGGCAGGAGATTATGCCTCCATTCCTGTCAGCCCTCATGAAACCTCATATTCTAGCTAAACTAGTACATTTTGATAAATGCCAACCACATTTACCTAATTTTATCATATCACTCATCCAAACCATACAGGTCTGAGCCTCAATCACCAGACCAGTAGCAGCAATATGACAAAAAAGCTCAAGGAAAGAAAAGAAATACAACTAAAAAATTGATTTGTCCATTAAATCATTTTAATGATAATTTTTTTTCTCTTTTATCCACCTTACTTTTATCTTTTTAAAATATTTTATGTGTTTCTTGTGTTTCTTTTATTTTGTATTTGTGAAATGTGAATGTGTGTGTGAAAGGTGTACTACTACTGCATAAAAATTGCCCATACTGGGACAAATAAAAGCTACTGAACTGAACTGAATCCTGGAGCTGCTCTAGAATCTGATTTGTTTTTCTCTGCAAAGGGTTTTACCAGAGTCTCATCGCTCTAGCTTGTTCCTGATAGGAGAAAAATGACATGTTGCAATCATCCCCCATTTTACTCTTCTCCATCTCCCCTATTATTCGGGGAGAAAAATCTAGAAGAAATCCACAGTATTTATATAGACTATAGCACATTTTTTTTAATAAAGCATTTTAAATGCCACTATAAACACATTTAATGAATTTCAATGCCAATTAAGGCCTTAATTTAAAAAATAATAATTTTATTACTTTTAATGATTTCCATACTAGCGGTGCATGATATATTGATGTTGGCATTGGTATCGGATGTTATTTGTCATATTTTATACATTAATGTTTTTGAGCCCTTTATAAATGATGCACTAAAGGCAGGCATCTGTCTCCTTTGTTATCAACAATAGGAAAGCAGTCAATGAATATAATGCTCATTTTTGGAAAATATAAACCCCAATGGCATAAATACCGGTAGGCAGAGACTGCATTTGCAGAGGGGCCCTATCACTGACACCTGGTGGGCCCCCTTCGCAGTTGTGGACTAAGACGTCTCTTTGCAGATGTAATGGTGCGAAAAATCCTTAATAAATCCATCTGTCCTTACACCGAAATTACCGGACCTTATTTATACCCCAACACATGCCAGAGTTCAACAGGATAGTTCATTAGACGGTTGGCAAAAATACACTCATATAATATGTTTCAAACCGCAAAAAAAGATCGTAAAAGAACGGTGTATATGAGTATACCACTTGGAATTCTGGGTAATCCAGAGCGTAGGTTGGGGTGTTGTGCTTCATATGGTGCCCACCCAGATCATGTTGCTTATTGTTGTGTCGTCACGTCATTTATCTTACATCAGATTGATACGTAAAAGTTGGATAACCGTTAAGATAAGGGCAATGACATTCATTGTGGGAAATTAAAAACTAAACCTGAAATATATCCGAATGTTTCACAGGGAACCGTTTAAACTTATTTTTAAATAAATGCTGACTAATGTTCTGAGAGTTTGCAGGAAGTCGGGAGCAATAAAGCCATAACTGGAATGACAGGTTCGTTAGCGCAAGGACACCGCACCGAAATTATCTCTTTGGTTTTATGACGAGTCCGCGCTAAAAATACCAAATCCTACAAGAAGAAATTCAAGTTATCCGAGCCAGTAATAAATGTTAAGTTATGTAGGTTATGTTACCTTCAAATTTTACATGCAATATTCAATTAGGACTCACGAAACGTCGCTCCAAACAGAAGCTGGTTCAGTCATAACACCACCGAGACTAGGCGAACTAATCGATCCGCAGCACAGGCACCTTAATCGAAAAAGATAGATGGAAACTTCAAGCGTGAAATTTGTTTGCTTTTTGCCCTTTTTTTGTGTTTTTTTTTTTCAGTTTTTTTATTTTATTTTATTGTTTATTGGGATGAAGAGAAGCAAAAGCAAGTGCCAATTCAAAGCAATTTTGTTTATTTAACCTTTATTTAAATAAGGGGGAAAAATCCCATTGAGATTAAAAACTTCTTTTTCAAGGAGTCCTGGCCAAGAGCCAACAAAGTTACATTAGGGAACAGATATACATTAAATTAAATAAAAAACATAACAAGTAAATCAATTACACATTGTTCAAAGTCTTTCACTTTTAACTTAAAGGAATAGTACACCCAAAACACGATTAGCCTTCATTTTCTACTCACCCCCATGCTGAACAACACTCTGGAGTACTTTTTTGATATCTCAAATGCAGCTGGAGATCTGGGAGGCTTCTTGCTGTCTGCTGACATTCAAATAATGGAGGTCTATGGTGACCGAGACAGAAAGGTCCATAAAAGTCCACAAAAACGTGTCAATATTCTTCCATACTGCTCGTCCAATGTATTCCAAGTGTCCTGAGTGGGTAGCATCCAGAATTTACTCGAAACGAAGTAATTTAGAATGTTTTTAGAGCATAAACAGTAGTGTATAGTATTTCCTAAAAGCGCGTTCACGAGTCTACGGAAACCGCGGCAGACCAAACCAGACGAAAGTGCGCATTCAGCTGGGCAAAGAACTCATGCTCTTCCTCAACACTGAAGTCCTCAGACATTTTTCTTTCGTTGTTTCTTTCTTTGCACAGGTAAACAGCACATTTCTTCTTCTACGCTTGCATTATCGGCAGAGCAGACGCTGAATGCGCACTTTCATCTGGTCTGCCGGCTTCCGTATCGTCCTGAACGCGCTGGCGCGCGCTTTCAGGAAATACTATACACTACTGTTTATGCTCTAAAAACATTCTAAATGACTTCGTTTCGAGTAAATTCTGGATGCTACCCACTAAGGACACTTGGAATACATTGGACGAGCAGTATGGAGGAATATTGACACGTTTTTGTGGACTTTTATGGACCTTTCTGTCTCGGGCACCGTAGACCTCCATTATTTGAATGTCAGCAGACAGCAAGAAGCCTCCCAGATCTCCAGATGCATTTGAGATATCAAAAAAGTACTCCAGAGTGTTGTTCAGCATGGGGGTGAGTAGAAAATGAAGGCTAATCATGTTTTGGGTGTACTATTCCTTTAAAAGCATTTAGAGGTAAAAACTCAGTCAACTTCCAGTTTCTTTGTAAAAAAAAAAATAAAAATCCATGCACAAGGAGCTGTTTGCCAAAGGCGAAAAGGAGCAGTGAGCAACAGCTGATCGTTGGATCTCAGGGCATAAGAAGCCGCGCTTTTCTGTGTAAGTAAGGTACAAATGTAAATGTAAATAAAAGTGTACCAATGGCACTGCCTTCTCATAGAGAGGGAAGGCCATCCCACCTAAGACTAAAGGTCACAGTGACGTGTCGGCTCTACAGTCCAACATTTGAAGACATGAAGAAGTAGCATTCCTATAGAAAAGGTCACCATAATCTTAGACCAATTAAAACGTGGCAGAGGCAAGGCGCTTTTTTACTCCAAAGGAAAAACATGTCTCATTACGAAAGAGAAACCCAGTTTAACTTTTAATTTCTTAACAAGTTTATCAGTAAAAGGTTTGAAGGTGATTATCAATTACAATTCCAAGGTATTTAATGTTAATAGAACAAACTGATGTATGAATACTTTCAAGGGCATGACCCGTATCCTCTTATTAAAAATATTTTTTGTTGTGCCTTACAATAGGCTACTAATTAAACCCTTTAACTTTTGGACATTTGTCATATTAGGAACTCAAAACCCAATTGTTTTGTTTTGTTGGGGTCTTAACTTGTGAAAAGAAATACATAAATGGATCCATATATTCAGAGCCTCAGTCAGAGAAACCGTGGTTTAATAGATTTAGATGCATTTTACTGATAAAAATGTTTACAAGCATTAGCTCTTCAATTTAATCTACTTTATTAGGTTCAGAATTAGTTGTTTCCCAAATCCGCTGCCCACCTTTGGCTGTGACAAAAAAATTGTGAATTTGTTTAAATGGAAAAAAAAATCTTAAATGGGAAAAAAATGTGTCTCACAATTTCATTAGAATAACCTAATCCATGTACAATATACATTTTAATGAAAATTGCATTTAAAAAATTTATTTAACACCACTTAAACTAATTAATCTTCACCTTAATCTAGTTTGTGCATAATCACTCATATTAAGCAAATAAATAAAACAATAAAGCCTTTCTGGGGGTACAAAGCATATTAGGAGTTCTTCAAAAGACGATGATGGGAGCTGGTAATAGTAAACAGCAAATGAAGCCCAATTAAATTGATATTTTTCAAAAGTAGCTTTTGTATTTGAGTTTAATTAAACAAAGTGCATCATTAAATAATCATTAACTGTAGAAAAATAAATACATATTTGAAGGGCTTCTCTGGTGAGACTGCAGAGAAAATCCTAGATCACCTACTGAGGGCTTAAATCAGGTTTAGTGCAACACTGACCTCTGCTGGTTATCTACGAGAAAGTAAAAATGAGTTAAAGGGGAGAAAAGTTTTTCCAGTCTTTACTTATTATTAGCTATTAGACGTGTAGGGCTGCACCATAGAGCAGTGGGTACCACTGTTGCCTTGCAGCAAGAATTTTACACCAGAGGTGTAGCCAGAATTTTTTTTATAAGGGTGGCCAGGCAATAACCAATGAACACTGTGGGGTGGCTGAAAGTGGATAGATGCCAGAACCTCAGGGTCAAGCCAAAGATAGGACAAACTATACTTTCCTACAGCCTTTACTAACAAACAGAAGCATAAATTTAAACATCCGTGCTTCCTAGATAAAAGGTATAATAGATCAAATTCTTTCCAGTTTGAGTTCTGGGGTGAACATCTTTTCCATTGTCATTACTTACCTACTTTTTTCAATAATCATTCTGCATAAAATTGATATTTATACCGTAAGTACTATTATCTACAGAAATTGATTATTTAATATGTTTTTATTAAAATGGTTATTTATCTATGATTTCACTCCTAGATGACTTGTAGAGACAAATCATTTTCTCTTTACTCCATAGTATAACACAAAATCTAGTTCTGAAAAGAGCATGAATTCTGTACTTATCATCTTTAATTTTAGTATAGTGATGTTTATAATGAACCACATTGTTTTTACTGTTAAGTAATTATGAATATATGACAAAATTGTAAGTAATACATGAAAATGTTTTATTAGTATTCCACTTGAGAGTATTTCTGCTGCCACCGTCTGTATTTGAGGGAAAAAATTGTAGGGGTGGCTAAGGGTGGTCACCCCTGGTCCCCCATCTAGCTCTGCCCCTGCTGTTAACCTGTCCAGAGTTTACCCTGACAAGGACTAAGCTGGAGATGGATGGATGGTAATTTTGTAAATTGAAACTTGCCCTATGTCTGGTCTATTTATCCTACAAAAACAGCAAATATCTATATCAGACAAGACTAGATTGATTGTTTTCCCCAAATTGTTACCATGGTGTTTTCCCCATTTATGATGAATGCAGAATACAGCTGGGAAACTAGACTAAAACAACAAATCCTGAGAAAAAAAAAATCTTCAAGTGGAAAAGAAGTTTATTATGCACGCGGTGTTTAAAGTCTGTAGGATAAATATTTTTTTATCTCTCTGACAAAAAAACACAAACTAATCCTTAAAGCCTAGCTTATGTTGAAGTTTCCAGTAATATACAGTTTGTAGAATCTGTTGGTGAAAAACCAACATAAGGTAATGCAATCATACAAACCTCAAAAGTATATTCAGTCCCTCTGAGTCAATGTTTTGGAGTTTGCTGCTGTCACATATGTCTTCAAGCTTTACACACCCAGAGCTTTAAATTTCAGCCCATTCTTCTTTGAAAATATTGGCTCTAAAGCTCCCGTCTGTCCTATAGAAAATTATTACATCAGCATGATGCTTATACTGCTGTGTGTCACCATGTTGATTGTGTGTTTATGGTGAGGTGCTGTGTTGGCATTCCTCTGGTGTTTCGTAATAAAGGGTAAAAAAAAAAAAAAAAAACTACCTCTTGTCTTTGTTTATTTAGACCACCTTCTTATGCATGTTTGCTGTGTTCCATCCACTGACTGTGGCACTCTTTCAGAATGACTTTGTTTGGTTTTCTTCCAAAGGTGGTTTTCTTCTGACATAACCTCACAGTTATTCTCTAATTTGTTTGCTTTATATCCAAATAGAAATACAAATACCACCATTAAAGTTATAGAAAAGATTAAAAAGGTATGAAAAACTAACTACTGATCCAACTTGAATCATGGCTGGAATAAAATCCTCTTTCTGTGATGCCTCTCATTTTTCTTTTGTCTGTTATGAAACAGTGAGTCTGTTTTCTGAGCCTAAGGCCTTGGGTGTTCTCTGCCTTATATTGTGAGTCATATCAAACTGTTAATCGTAGCTATTTACTCATCAAAATATTCAAAAAAAAAATTATTCTGTTCCTATTTTTGGCTTCAAAAAGCTGTGGCCAGACATCTAAGAGAACAGATTGCTTGGCTGTTTTTCTTACTCAATTAAAAACTGCTTCTCATTTATGAGCATTTTTATGACCACACACAGCAAAGATAGCAGTTTTATTAGACAAGTCATTGATAATAACACTGTCTAGTGCAACGAAGAGGGGGTCAATGCTTTTGAAAGGTGTGTAAAAGGTTAAAGGTACATTAACAGCTGTCTCCTTACTAGAACTATTTTGCTTTTTAGTGATGCATTTTCTACGGGCAACCGTGCATCTTTTGTAAATGAGTCAATTGAAGAAGTTTGCTATTTAGAGTCTTTAAAAAGTAAGAGAACATAACTCTTTACAGGGTTTATACTTTAGCAATATTTCATTCATTCTTGGCCGCTTCACTAAGGAATGTGCTGAAGGTCCAAAATGGGCTGGAACAGAGA